GAGTTCCCTTGAGTTGTGGCCTGGTTGTCACTGTCATATGTGAAGTTGTGACCAAAGTCAAGATGGTGCCCTGGTTGTCATTATCATAGATATGAGGTTGTTTGTGTAAATGCAAATATGTAACATGACACCATGCTGCAGTCAGGTAGATATTGACAAACTCTAGTTAGGTAAATATTGACAAACTCTAGTTAGGTAAATATTGACAAACTCTAGTTAGGTAGATATTGACAAACTCTTGTGAGGTAGATATTGACAAACTCTAGGCAGGTAGATATTGACAGACTCTAGTCAGATAGATATTGAGAAACTTCAGTGAGGTAAATATATACAACATGTGCAGGAACGGTATATACAAAGACACAATTCACTATACTCCGGCAAAGCCTAGTTCCTGGTATTGTACGGCCGCTTCCTTTGCTATTCCACATCACACCACTCGCATGTAGACTTGAAGAATCAAATTTAGAAGAATTAACTTTCTTTTAGCTACAGTAACAGTTTGGACACTACCGCGTTCCTTGACTGACGCGATGTTTCATGGTGGTAATTAAGGGAAATACGGTAAGGCGGTTCCTTGACTGACGTGATGTTTCGTGGTGGTAATTAAGGGAAATACGGTAGAGCGGTTCCTTGACTGACGCGATGTTTCATGGTGGTAATTAAGGGAAATACGGTAGAGCGGTTCCTTGACTGACGCGGTGTTTCATGGTGGTAATTAAGCGAAATACTGTTGGCTGGTTTGCACTTCTTTCCAGAAAATAATGGTAGTGTCTTGAGTTTGAAAATTGTAAGCGATAGATAATCAAACACGGGGCAGCGTTCGGTTTCTTCCGGGATCGCCGTCATACAGCGTCCGTGTAAGCCACGCGAGCCAAATAGTTGTTCTATAACGAATGCATGATTCACAAGAAATGAATGTTTGACCCAAACTTCACAAAGTACACGTGAGGATATAGTTATGGCGGATGTAATCCTTAAGTGTATTTTGAGAAGTTTGGGTCAAACATTCATTTCTTGGGAATCAATCATTCGTTATAGAACAAACAACTTGTTGGTCTCTTAATTTAAGTTGTTCTTTCAATCTCAACAATAACTGGTCATTTACCAAAACTGACTACAATATGCTTTGATTTCACATAGGCACAAGTCATTAAACACTATCCTTACCAACGGGATTACAATGCGCAGACACCGTGAAGCCCCACCCACTCATGATCAACACACAGAAGCTATAGTTCATTTCAACTATCTCTCTCTCGATCGCTTGATCGACTGGATAGAACCATTCTCGATTTTCCAAATCTATTATCTTATCATTGTTTAACACAAATTAATTGAGATACATGTACGATACACTGGGTAATTGAGAATGGTTTTGGTGTCTGGGTGATAATTCAACTATCCTATCTGCTGTAGTTCTTTACCTCGGGTGGCCCAGTCGTCTAAGGCGCCGCGATTCGCTGTGCAGAGTTGCGTCCCTTGGGCACGCCAGAAACCTATGATTGTGGGTTCGAATCCCGGTTCGCCTCGATTATGTTTCTTGGTTTGTCAGCACCATACCCGTGCTCGTGGGTTTCACCGAAGTGGTAAACGTCCGAGACCTGCAACACTTCGGGCTTTCCTCCCACATTAAGCTGACACGCCGTGATATAACTGGAATACTGTTAAAAGCGGCGTTAAACCCAACTCACTCACTGGTTCTTTACCTCCGTGAAAATCCGGAGTAGTATAGGTCTACAGCAACCCATGATTGTAAGAGGTGACTAACGGGATCGGGTGGTCAGGCTCGCTGACTTGATTGGTGCTCATGATGTCACTCATGATGTCAATCACTGGATTGGGAAGTCATATAGCTGGCGTCATATATAGCTGGAATATTGCTGAGTTCGGCGTTAAACAACAAACAAACCTCCATGGAACGAAATACCCGTGTGTTAAAAACGTACTCAAAATAGGAAATCTCCCACAAAGGATTGAATGATTACTATTCAATGATTGAATGATTGCTATTCAATTAATGTTTATCTAACACAGTACTTCATGTAAAAGGCAGCTCGGCGTTTCCCGAACACAGAAACACCCGTCATTAGCCTATATTGTTGACCCACACTATCTATCAACAGGTTTGTGTTGAAGGCTCACTATACGCCAGCACCCACGGGGTGGTCAGTATAATAAACTGTCTAATACCATTACCTAAGGTGTATTTTTCTCACGATAATACATGGTCACCTCGTTAAAATCTCATTTTATAAGATCGAAACCGTCAAAGGAATATGTTGCATGTGTTGAGCGACGCCCCGCTGGCACGCGCGATTTGCCGCCAGATGAAACGGGTGTAAATGGCGGAACGTTTGCGTGGAACAACTGAGTGTGACGGCATCGATTGCTACCTTGCCCCGGGCTGAGGAGTCGATATGTGTTGGTGTAATGTTATTCCTCCTTGGCTCATTAAGTCGATTTGTAGATTTTACAAACAGATTTATTGTTTGTGTTACGGTTTTAAGTTCAATGTAGCGTGTCGAACTGAAAGTGGGAAAGGACGTGCGAGGACGCCATTCTTCCGTTCCACAGCGCGGGTTTCAGAAGTGGACGATTGACATATATTAAGTACGCTTGTGAAATATACAAACATTTAGCCGGTACACCTGTATAAATAGTCTTTCTTAAAGGACCCAGACCACAAACAGTCTCTTCCCCCTCCAGCCTACACCCATCCTACCTCAGTCTCAGCAGTCTGTACTCATCCCCTGAATTGAGAGGGATTCCTTCTATATATTCATACTCACGGTGTTCTTTATAGAATTATTTTATTATTCCTGTACATAACTGTATTTCGGGGTTAGTCTAATGTAACGATAGCAACGCCTGGGATACAGACTTAAACATCCGGGGAATATGTCGGGTCCAGCAGAGGCATAGATGGGTTACTGTTAAACTCCCTAGTCGGGCAACTGGTCGTTAGAGAAATATTTAGAATACATTCAGACGGAGATCGACTCCCTGTCCGACCTTCTCTGTCCATCGTAGGTGGAACGTCGTTGAATGTAATTCCACAAATCATATATGCGTCGGTTATGTATGTGACATACTAGTATATTATAATGCACCACGTATTGGCATTTCATGAAATCCCATTACATACGCAACGTTACGCAGGGTCCACGGAGAACACACTGGAGCCAAATACCAACCTTAAGCACAGAATAGGATTACCTGCACACCGCCGCGCCGTACATATACAGTATACTGAACCGGCTATCATAAGCACCTATCGTGTAGATATTTGCACATAATTTATATTGATGTTATAAACCAAACATTAATACCACTTATGTCATTAGTGGCCGTGTGTTGTTTTTTTCCAAATCAAGTAAGGGTCTCGTAAATAGATCCACTTATTTCAGTCCTATTGTGTTTGGTAAATAAAATATGTTTAAACTAAACTAACATGACACGGAATACCCGGGCTGAATATCACACGACAAAAGGGTGGTTAATTCCCCATGAACGCCATGTGTTTGATACACGTCTGTCCCGTGCTCGGCCATTATAGATATTTAGCGTGGTCGCGTTACACGGACTGTGGAATTATGCATAATTAATCACTCATCTTTTCACTAATCGAGCCTTCCAACTACCAGATGTTCTCCACGCTTATGACTGCGATAACAAAGGTAAATCTGTTAATACATTTTCTACAAGTGTATGTTTATTTCTCCTAAACGTACGTACCCGTACCAGAGTATATATCGTCATCGGCTGTCCTAATAGATACTAACTGGCAAGGAAATACACACGAAAATCCACTGAACGAAGTTTACGGGACCAAAACAACTGTATATACATAGACTGCAATCGAGTGTTGTGAAAAGGGATGTGCTATATTTCAAAGTCGTGTGGTCCAAGGGAGGTAACTCTATTTGCCTCCGCTGCAACATCGTCACCTAGCCTTGCTTTTAAGAGTTAATTTCAACTTTAGATTCAATGAAGGAATATTATTTTTTATAAACATTATATGATGACATATAAACGACAATATATATTTGACTGACGATCCCTATGGAACAAGCTTGACGCGATACACCTCGTTATACATGTCATTTGTGGATGAACATGTACCTGCCATTTAATAGCGTTTAGCAGCGGAGGATAAGCAATCATAGGGTGAGTAATGAGTGTCACCCTGTCACAATCTTCCCCCCCAGGCAGCTTGTGTCTGAACGAGGACATCTTGATCCATATTGTCACCGTTTGTGTTGGCTACACTGTTGCATTGATTGTCAAAACCATGGAATAACACTATTAAACAACATTTGGTAGCCATGCATACCGTCGTACAACATACGATACGTAGACATCTGTTGCTACGTCTCGAGGACGTATTCAAAGTAAGTTGGTCTATCGTGGACTTCTGTCGTTCCATACAGTCTTTAATTGACGTTTATTATTGTAGAGTCTTTAACAGTACAAACTGCACATTCGGGGACTATCAAAGCAATCAATATTTAACAAGCGTGGCGAGAGTTAGTTACGGGGTGAAATGGTCAAGTTGTATTTGAACAGTTTGATAAAGTTCACCATTAACCGCACTTTAATCAATAAATGAATCTGGATTGTCCTCTAATTAATGCACTTGTCACACTCACTGACCTTAATTGCCTTAAACTATAATCCTTCAAATCACACGATGGCATTTTCCGACAGAAACAATCCTGTCATAATTAAACAAAAGACAAATATAACTGTTGTTCCCAATCACAAAGAAAACAGACTGCTACTATGTAGAATTAATCGCCGCACTTAAACACAGCCGTTTATACAGTGAAATTGTCGTAACAACCGTGTTCGGCTAATGACGGGGGATTAATGACCTTTAATTACCACGATGAGTGTGACGTAAAAGCCTCGCGGTATGTGGTTGGCAAAACATCCACTCATACCCTGTACTGATTTATTCTTTGTCTAACTGGTATAAAGGCAGGCCAGGTATGGTGCAGTTCTACACCTGCAACGCTCTTGCCTTGCTCAGTCGGGAATGAATATGAATCGGGTCTGACGTTGCCTGTTCAGCGACCAATCGGAAGGCAGAAGCTGACAAGGGACAGGGTGTATTTCACGCACACTAAGCACCGAGGTAGGTAACTTACGTTTTACACATCCAAACTTCATTTCTGTGATATATTTTCTGTAAATATGTACAATTTGCTCCATGCTCGCCCCTTATGATTTTTCATAATCTCTAGAACAGCGCTCTTTTCATGTTATCCAAGAAATATTTAGTCGGCTGTCAAACTGTCTTCTTTGTTTCCTAAACAGGGAGGGGCTGGCATGGAATTTGTGTTATATGATCCCAGCAGATTTTCCAGGCATTTACAGGGGCAAAGTTGGGAGCAAATGTGTTAAATGTATATACAATGGCAACTGTGCAGATAGGAAACCCCGGCTGGAAGTGCCCAGTTGTCATCTCACGAGAACAGTGTTCCCTATACGTAGCGTGCATCAGACGGCCATGTTTAATCCAAATGAAAAATCAGCATATTTTGAAGAAATTCCGGGCTAGGATACCCTGTGACATATCGGAAGCCTTCTCGAAATGAAATTATTGAAATAGGATATCAAAAATTGAGGGATCTTACCGTCAGATATCGATGTTAATGTTTCATCGTATTTCATTGTTGTTTATGACATCACCGTCTGCTGACTTGCATAAAACTCAAGATGTACTATGCTACTGAAGTGTGTCGACTGCTTGAAATATTCGGTCCCCGCACTTACAGTCGACAAACGCACACGAGGTACATATATTCTCTTTTTTTGTCCCGGTCTAAAACATTGATGATGTCTGACATGGACGCGTCTCTAGACTGACAAGTGAAGACTTGCCTCAGCCGTACGCTCCCCCAAGTTTAAAATAGGTCATTAAGTGTACGCAAGTGTAGAAAAGGTATCTCTCGGCTAATTTTGAGGCTGGGTGTTTTTTTTGTTGAAAACGCGCGCATTGAAGTACAGCAGCGCGGTAAATTTAAAATATTTCTCAGACTGTTTACATTCATTTATTTCATCGTCAGGTATTTTGTTCCGAAGTTAAATCCGTTATACATACCACCGATATCAACAGTCCCACGTAACGGTAAACAGTTTGTATTTGTCTGGGTCTTATACCAATAAGGAAAGCGAAACAGTTGCAAGAAAGCGAAACAGTTGTCGAAGATTACTAACGCTGTTTTTTAGCATTCTGTTCTCATGACTGAATTCGTTTTCAAACAGTTTGTGTGTGTGCGCGTGTGTGTGGGTGTGTATGATCAAATATATCGAACTAGAACATTTCTGTGTGGAAGGTGTACATGGTGATTTTAAAGGTTAAAACCCCTGTTTCGTGGTTACTGGTATACCGCAATGGCCTACCGTAATCCCCAACACTGAGTTAATACACCGTTGCCTGGCCCAAACACAATAACGACGGACCTGTTTGTGTTTAATCTCCATCAGGCGGCCGTTATTGTGTTTTATAACTTGTTTGTAGCACGTGTGGCGATGAACGAAGCCACGACAGGAATGTATGACAATGTGTAGATATATCATCTATTGTGCCCTGCCTCGTGGGGTCATAATGGCTATCTGTATGATCTAGCTAGCGCCCGGGGCCGACCCCCACCTCCCACCCACACCTCCTTCCGGCGACAATACTTTACATCAGTATCAGCTTTCAATGACGTGTCATTGTTGAGTCACATACTTTCCTATAGTGTGTTAGTTGGGAACAGAAGTCGTATACAGTATATGAAAAATAAACTGCAGAGCAAAAGAAAGTTTACATCCATCTTTTGACCAAGGCCGAAGTTAACTTCTTTTGACAAGGGGGGGGGCGGCAAATATTTGTACAAGTATCCCTTGTCCCCAACTCCATTCAAATAAGACTATTTTTATTAATTCTTTTATTTTTAATTTTATTTTTATTTTAATTCAACTGCTCCTCCTCCTCCTCCTCCCCCCCCCCCCCCCCCCCCCCCCATCACACACACACACACACACACACACACACACACACACACACACACACACACACACACACACACACACACACACACACCCCACCTATAACAAGTAGAGCAAATACAACTTTACAACGTACAACTTTTTGTACGACAATGGTTATTCGAAGGTTATAAGAAATGGTTATACGATGGGGGTGTATGTGATACGGGTATCATAGTGGTGTTTTGAACCTTAAGTTTGCAGTGTTTCGGCCTAGTAACGTTTTGATAACGTTTCTAATTTTTCAGTTAATTCCAATTTTAAAGTGTATACTTTCTTTTGCCTGGCAGTGTAGTATAAAATTAGTTGGTAAGAACTATAAACTATATATAAAAACACAAAATCAATACCATTTATCGTATCACACACTTATTTCATGTTTACTTAGAACACAACAGTTACAATCAAGTTTACCACATTCAGTCTCGCATCTGTCAGGGACCACAACAACATACATCCAAACAAGAGAATTGTTAGACTGTAAGGGGAAAGGGGAAGTAACTCTCATCAACGGGTGACTGCACCGGGCAAAGCCTTCATCCACCGCGAGGATAGTCCTGCTCTGCAACCCCTTCTTTTGGCCACTACTTTTTTCATATACAACAGTAACAAAAAACAAACATGGTAACACCGGAAATATACAAGTAAGGCTCTATTAAGGCTAGTGTATAGTAAAGACCTCGATGCTTTATGCCCGAGTTCTATGACGGACAAACGTTGGCTGCATTATCAGCCGAGTAAGTACAACACAGGCTATCGCCAGAGGGAGGGATCTAAATTCTTTGCAATCATGAATTACAGTGTATTTCTTATTTGGGGCGGAGAATCCATTTCGAGGACTCCTTGACACTTAAATTTGATAGTATATTCTATCTCCATTTTGGGTGTGACATTTAAGGGAGATGGTTCAATAGATATACAACTTCTTTCTTTCATGACTGCGCCGTGTCCGTGTAGATACCAACACATCGCTTGTTTTATAACAGTGTAATTATCTCCCTTGTTCACCATACCAACTTCTAAATACGACTTACAGAACACAATTTTCTACTTGGAGAGTGTTATTTTTCAAAATATCACTCCGACTTAGAAAAATCCATGACTGCTCCATTTTAAACAAATTAGCTGTTCGATGTCCAAAGAAATGTTATTAAAGAGCAAAAACAATTCCATGACGTCTAGTACTGAAAAGGCGTAAGTTTGTTTAAAGAACGCTGTATCCATTTTTAATAAATATACAAATAATACTTAAAGACAACATACACAGGTCTTGCCTTAAAGGTGAATAGTTGTGAGTAGGACCTAAGAAAACGAAATTTATAGGTAAATCCTATTATTATTTATAAAAAACAAAACAATGTTATTCTGACCTGCAATGTTCAATCACAGTGGACAGATTGAAGCTTATATATCACATGCCTGGAAGCAGATTCGACGTCAAGCTGCGTTAGCCCTCAAAGGTGATGCAAGCTGCAGTAAAAGCTATTGCATGCTATGAGATCAACAACTATATTTTAGAAGCGCTTCAAGTTGCCCCTGGAAACCGTTTTTGTAAATTTCTTTATAGCAGGCTTTTGTTTTTATGAATTTATATGGGAACAGACGTAACTTTATTTGAGTTGATAGTATCGCGTAGACGGGTTCAGTTGCATAGGCGAATGATCTTTTTTTACGATGCGACTTTCTCGCATCCTCCTCTTCCGACCTCGCTTTCACTCATCCTATTTTTCAGCTTCAACGACTACATTTCCGTGAACTACGTTGTCACCGTCGCAAAAGCAAGATGTCCATCGACATTGTTGATCTGGAGGACATAGTCACCACATTCTTCTTTGAGGAGTGGATGGAGGACAAGAAGAAGAAAGAAGCTGACCGCGAGAGTGTTGAGATCAAATGGGACCGCGTTCGGTTCACCCACTCCCCGGCGAAGTACGTTAAGGATGAAGAGGAGAAGAACGGTGATGAGGAGGGGGAGAACGGCGAAGATGCCGACCCGGAGAAGAGGATTGCGAAAGGTGGGAATCCCAACGCTCACGTGATATTTACTGCGTTCTTTGCGAACAATACTGAGGCCGAACAAGTTCACACGTTAACGACGGAACGTCGGACAAAGTCGACGTGCACTGTCTCGTTATCTAAAGCATACACATTGGGAGCATCGGTGAACATTCGGATCACACCTCCTAACCCTATTGTTGAAGCAAACGCCGGATTTAAAGCCGAGATGTCGAAAATGAAGGGTTTGAGTGAGACTGTCGAGAAGGAGCTGACGTGGTCAGTCAACAGTCAGATCAAGATCCCCAAGAAGTCCCGGACACGAGTGGACCTGGTCATCAAGGAGGAGGAGTATGATGGCCGCTTCACCATGGACACCAAGATCGAGGGGAACGTCATCATCACGGCGTGGACCAAGAACAGGGACAAGCACGTGAGCTCTGCTAACATCAAAGTAGCCAGTATCTTCGCAAAGAACAAATACTTTAAAGTGGACAAACCCAAGAACGCGGCGGTCTTCGTCACCCAGGGAAACTGTAAATGTCGCTTCGGAATTGAGCAGAATATGGAACAGACGGAACTCCCGCTCTTAAAATGAATGACCTTGACATTTATAGATCCCCAAGTGCTGTCTTTATGCAATGGATGCTACATCTCACCGGTCATCGTGAGTATGTTTGAACTATGAGAAGCAGCGAAGGGCCGTGAGTGATTCAAGCTAGGACAATGATGGACAGGACACATTTCATAATGTAGTGTTTTTATATATTTCATCGAGCATTGGTGCTTCAGTTATTATATTATTATTTACATATATATATGCATATGGACTCCACGTCAACATCAATCTTCTAAAGGAATATCCGCTGCAGTATACGCCCCAGGACGCTGAAAATGCTATTTCAGTGATCACTGATCCTTTGATCATTCGCATTGAAGGCAGCCCCCGTGATGCGTAGGCTTGTGTATTGTAGCGGAGTATTACGATCACTATTATAGGAGTATAGTAATCATTCTTTGTCACCATGCAGGTGATTCCTTATCGACGATGTGAGATGTGGCAATGCACGTGTTCGTCTCGCACGTCCAGTAGACACGCCGCTATTAAATCATAACCCGTCATGTCATACAGCATATTCGTTTTCAGGTTGTAGTCTTCTTTAATGATTGCTGGCTTCGAGTCTCTGTTATAGTTTCGCATGAACAAGAATTATGAAAAAAGAACTTTGATTATTTTTGTTTGCGAACACTCTTGAAATATTTCATGTCAAAATCCAAAGAAGCGTCGTAAACGAATGTAAGTTTTTTTCAAAGGGAGGTAACTCTGATTTCTGCAATGGTGAGGGTTAGTCTCAAAAGTGAACCGGAATGTTTTCAGTTGTTCGGGGGAAATCGATGAAGGCTTTCATGAACTTTATCTGTGATATGTACAAATACATTTCATCTGTTTGTGTTCATTCTCTGGTTCGTAATATCGTTTGGATCATTGAAGTTTTACTCATTTCTTTGGTCAATATTTCCTCCTGGCAGTCACAACGACAAAGAGTCACGATATGGCTGTAATACTGCCGATGTGACTTCACATTTGAACTCACTACGACATGACCCACACTGCTGTTCAGAAAAAAAAAATCATTTTTATTTCTTAGCCAAAGAATTGTTTTACATGAATGTTATAGTTAACATGCTTAAGGAAAATGTGAATAAATTATTATTATTATTATTATTATTATTATTATTATTATTATTATTATTATTATTATTATTATTTTCTTTCCTAAAACATCACTCCTGAGAGTAGGCGAATCGGATTGAACGTTATATACACCTGCACCTTTTCAATACACCATGGACATTTATTACGTCTGAGTATATGTGAAGCACATGCAGCATAAATTGAGCCACAAAACAAAGTATACCGAGCTTGTTTTGTTTAATTGGAAATGGAAGAAAACTGTTGGTAAATTTGACCATCACTGATTCCTGCAACAGTTTGTACAAAGTAATCTGTGGCTGGGTAATTTTGTGTAAAAATAAATTGGTCCAATTAAGACTGGGGTCAGAAATGAATCTGCAAACACATGTCCCCTAACACGTTTTAAATCAAATTATATTTTTTTAAATAAAACCATGTAGAAATATTCTTTAAGTGCTGACTAAGAGCCTGTACAGTTCATTTTGGGGCTATTCTATTGCTATTTTTAGATATTTTCAATTGAAAAAAAGAAATATGATAAAATCAACTGAGATGTATATTTTTCTGTTGCCCGTCAGTTTGCTAATGCTTGTACAACACAGGAATACAACGTACACAGGAGTACAACGCACACAGGCGTACAACGTACACAGGCGTACAACGTACACAGGAATACAACGTACACAGGAGTACAACGTACACAGGAGTACAACGCACACAAGCGTACAACGTACACAGGCGTACAACGTACACAGGAATACAACGTACACAGGAGTACAACGCACACAGGCGTACAACGTACACAGGAGTACAACGTACACAGGAGTACAACGCACACAGGCGTACAACGTACACAGGAGTACAAAGCACACAGGAGTACAACGTACACAGGAGTACAACGTACACAGGAGTACAACGCACACAGGAGTACAAAGCACACAGGAGTACAGTTAAGCACTAAGTACATTGATCTAAGAAATATATTCACAGAAATAACATAAACACAAACAATTAAAGATATATAGTTGTGAAAACAATCGGAAATGGAGAAAACAACAAAATGTCAAGAATAACTGTAACAAGCGGGTCCAGAATTACAGGATGAGTAGAGTCTGGGAACGCTAGTAGTCCCCCGACCCCCAGGCTCCTGGTTGTTGTTGGCTCGTCAGTCTGCTGGATGCAGGGATGAGTTGCCATCCCTGAATTCCCTCTCCCACGAAATGCCAGGGTCCTCCTTCTTCAGGTACACATGTACCCAACCCTTCACCACCTGTCAGAGAGGTTGGCGGTGAGTAGTGAAGGAAGGCAGGTAGATGTTACATAGTATCTCGCCTACCACTCGAGATTATTACCGTTCTCACACAGTGTATATAATGTACTATCCTAGCACTGAAAACAATCCAGGTGCTGCGCCAAAAAGTTTATTTATTGTATTCAAAACGATAGATACATAAAATTCTAAAATTTACAAATCAGTTGATTTTAAACTAGAAGAGACAGGTCTTTGTATGTAGTATGAATTTTGTCGAAACTTCAGATACAACTAGGTGAATTTATTAACTTCAGTGTTAATCCCAACCTACTTCCGCCCTGGTTTGTCCGTCGACGATGACGTGAGGGAGATCCTGGACACCGTATCTGTAGTCCCCGTCCAGGCCGCCGACATCGCTACCGTCACCGTGAGACCTGCAGACCCCAGGAAGAGTGAGTACACGCCAGTGTGTGGGAACTAGCTGCCCCTCGTGACCCACTGTATACCACAGCAGTCCTAATTAATGATAATTTGCGCTTTTAATTTTATAAAAATGGGCTTGAAAGTCCCTTGAATTTAGCGATATGCTATGCATATGTACTTCCCGAATGACTATAGATATTCATGTCTATCTCCCGACTGATAGCAGATATATATGCATGTTCACCTCCCGATTGACTATAGATATACATGTTTACCTCCCGATTGACTATAGATATATATGTTTATCTTCCGACTGTAGATAAATAGAGGTTATCACGCGAGTGTGTTTATTAGGAATAAACATTGTATTTAGCGAGCCTTGGCGAGCTAAATACATAGTGTTTATTCCTAATACATAGAGGTTATCACGCGAGTGTGTTTGGGGATGGTAAATATCCTGCATTAGGAATAAACATTGTATTTAGCGAGCCTTGGCGAGCTAAATACATAGTGTTTATTCCTAATACAGGATATTTCCCATCCCCAAACACACAAGCGTGATAACCTCTTTATCATATAATGTTATTCTTTAATTCTGTGCTTTAAAATCGCTTTCCCTCTCTCACAAACATTACCGAAACATTGCGACTTTTCCTGGAATGCGTGCATTAATATTTATTACGTCACAGGGTAGGTGATGTGTCAGTCGGACAGTGACAGTAGCCGATATAGTTCCATCTGAAATCTGTTTCTTATACAGTGGCGAAGCAACATATACGCAAAACAACAGTTGTTTGTAATTGCCTTTCGCGGCATTCCATCGGTCTGTCCACTATAGTAACTGCCCTTTGTCAAAGGGAAGCTACTCTTACCCTAGTCTATGAGACGTCACGGCCAGACGTTGTTGACAGTCGGTCTGTCCTGTTATAACGTTAAGAAGTGTAGTCAGATGTACACACAGCGTCAAATCGAAACAAGGTAACAATTCAGACTTATTTCGGCCAAATCCAACTATTTTAATTTGTGGAGAAGGTTTCAAGCCGCAGAGGTCTACAAGCACAGATAAGGCTACTGATCCCGCTTGGCTAGGCCTCGTGCCCTCGCAAAATTGTTTCGAAATTTATATCTCCAAAGTTGCCAAAACTGATAAATTGCCTTAGCTACGTCACAGTTAGACACTGATTTTCAGTATATTAGACTGTTCTTTTGATAATGATAGCAATTATCCCTGTAGTTTATCCAGATTCCCGATGGTTAATTCTGACTCGATCGCCGAATGACGAGGGCGACGCCATGTTTGTTTATAAAGAGTGAAAGTAGTCCTACTTGACCTTTGATATTTGCATCTCTATCCGCATATGACCCCAACGGATATCGTTTTTATCCGTTGGCTTTATCCTGCCGAGAAACCTACCCATTATATGATAAAGGATATTTCCCATCCCCAAACACACAAGCGTGATAACCTCTTTATCATATAATGTTATTCTTTAATTCTGTGCTTTAAAATCGCTTTCCCTCTCTCACAAACATTACCGAAACATTGCGACTTTTCCTGGAATGCGTGCATTAATATTTATTACGTCACAGGGTAGGTGATGTGTCAGTCGGACAGTGACAGTAGCCGATATAGTTCCATCTGAAATCTGTTTCTTATACAGTGGCGAAGCAACATATACGCAAAACAACAGTTGTTTTTAATTGCCTTTCGCGGCATTCCATCGGTCTGTCCACTATAGTAACTGCCCTTTGTCAAAGGGAAGCTACTCTTACCCTAGTCTATGAGACGTCACGGCCAGACGTTGTTGACAGTCGGTCTGTCCTGTTATAACGTTAAGAAGTGTAGTCAGATGTACACACAGCGTCAAATCGAAACAAGGTAACAATTCAGACTTATTTCGGCCAAATCCAACTATTTTAATTTGTGGAGAAGGTTTCAAGCCGCAGAGGTCTACAAGCACAGATAAGGCTACTGATCCCGCTTGGCTAGGCCTCGTGCCCTCGCAAAATTGTTTCGAAATTTATATCTCCAAAGTTGCCAAAACTGATAAATTGCCTTAGCTACGTCACAGTTAGACACTGATTTTCAGTATATTAGACTGTTCTTTTGATAATGATAGCAATTATCCCTGTAGTTTATCCAGATTCCCGATGGTTAATTCTGACTCGATCGCCGAATGACGAGGGCGACGCCATGTTTGTTTATAAAGAGTGAAAGTAGTCCTACTTGACCTTTGATATTTGCATCTCTATCCGCATATGACCCCAACGGATATCGTTTTTATCCGTTGGCTTTATCCTGCCGAGAAACCTACCCATTATATGATAAACATGTTTATCTCCCGCCCGGTAGTTGATATATATACATGTTTACCTCCCGATTGACTATAGATATATATGTTTATCTTCCGACTGTAGATAAACATGTTTATCTCCCGCCCGGTAGTTGATATATATACATGTTTACCTCCCGATTGACTGTAGATATACATGTTTATCTTCCGACTGTAGATATGCTTGTTTATCTACCGCCTCATAGCAAATCACCAGGTCTGGAAAAGGGTTATAATCCGTTCACCTACCGTCTGTCGGCCTCATCGTCAGTGATCTCAGCCGAGGAATAAGTTACAACCTGTTCCTGAATTCAACTGCCTTGACCTTTTTTATGCATATTAAGAAAATGGCCAACACAGCCGCCAACCCCTCGTGCTGTCATACGGTGGGTATTTTACTAGAGGTTCGTCGTGTTGTGAGCGACAGTACTGTATCCCAGGAGTATATATAACCAACAGAGTTCGAACCCCGGTTCGCCCCGATTATGTTTCTAGGTTTGTCAGCACCATACCCGTGCTCGTGGGTTTCACCGAAGTGGTAAACGTCCGAGACCTGCAACACTTCGGGCTTTCCTCCCACATTAAGCTGACACGCCGTGATATAACTGGAATACTGTTAAAAGCGGCGTTAAACCCAACTCACTCACTCCCTATCTGTATAATGCCGTTTCACGGTTGGAAGAAATTTAAAAAGAAGGAAAGTACGTTCGTAAGATCAGTCATACAAAAAACGAATCAGACCTGGGCCCACTTGCACAAAGCGATCTTAGCGCTAAGATGATCGTAACTACCATACTTTAACATATGCTTACAATAGTCTTAGCGCTAAGATCGCTTTGTGCAAGTGCGCCCAGGACAGTTTGAAGTGAAGAGAGCGGGGCGACTTCACACGTAAGTAGTTTCGCTTTCTCTTCCAAGTGTCATCGATTGCCGGGAATGAGGTCATGTGTGATGCGGGTCCTGAGCAGTAGTGTTTAATGGAGGGCAACATGATTGCGACAGTTAACCAAGGAGGAAACGAAACTAAGACAGCACACCACTTGTTGCAAAACACATTTGTTTTCATAGACAAGCCGTTCAAGATTACTGCTTCGTTGTTTAAGGACATCATAGCCCCCACTAGAACATAGATAGTGTGACGATCCCCTACCTAGACCAGGGGTCTGGTATCTGGCCGACATTCTCAGCCTCGGGTCCCGCTCATGAAGACCCAGACAAGGCGTGTTAATTCCACCAAGTCTTTTGGTTGGATGTTTCGGAGCACCTTCATTACTGCGCACTTTTTATTCTTCGTGAGGTATTTTGCTGCTACAATACTGTATGAACGACACATTGTGTATCTACTGGTGCGCTGGTTCGGTTACATAAGTCGATCTTAGCGTTTTTGTTTTGTTTGTTTGTTGCTTAACGCCGCACTCAGCTATATGACGGCGGTCTGTAAATAATCGAGTCTGGACCAGACAATCCAGTGACTGATGTCATGAGCATCGATCCACGAAATTGGGAAACGATAACATGCATCAACCAAGTCAGCGAGCCTGACCACCCGATCCCGTTAGTCGCCTCTTACGACAAGCATAGTCGCCTTTTACGGCAAGAATGGTTTGCTGAAGACCTATTCTACCCCGGATCTTCACGGGTCTAATTCTTCTTGAGGTAGTTTGCTGCTACAACGCTGTATGAATGACATCTTGGGTATCTAGTGGTGTCGCTTGGGCGCAGGTGCGGTTACACAAGTCGATCTCAACCCCCACAATGTGGTTTGATAACATAAGGTTATCGTTATCTGGTGTACACTTCCAGTATAAGGCTGGTATGTGTCGAACACGACGAACCATCCCTATCTCGAAGTGTTGGTCACCGTCAAAAAAATGGTCGATAGTTCGATACTGAGAGCCGACATGAAAGTGCAGATGCATTCTGTCGGGACCATACATCGTTAAATACGATACCGGAGTTCGAGTAAACGAGGTTTCACTGTATGGGGAACCTTCTGTTCATGTCATCGGGTCTGCCTGCGTGGCGTAGTGGTAAACCGTTTGCCTGGAGAGCGGAAGGTCGCCGGTCCGATTCCCTCGCTGCCTCACACCAAAAATACACTACAAAATAGTACTTGTTGCTACCCTGCCTTGTGCTGGGCAGTAAGGGGCTAAAACAAGGACTGGTGGGCTGGGAGTCAGTATATTGTGTCTCAGTAGGGTATCCATGCTAAACTGCGTATCAGTGGGCTAGCACTATAAAACCCGGACTAGTACAAGCAGCCACACACATGTGCACGCACTTCGCTATAGAAATACAATGATTCTGAACACGACGCTACGGTCAAATTCACTTCACCCCACCTTATGTCATAGGTGTCCTCCAATGTATTCACCGTCAAGAACGTACCCATGTCTCTATGTAATATTTGGGTCATAACTGAATAGATTCATTCACGCAAGTTCTGCGACAAATCTCAAGCCTACCAACACTTTAGTGAATAAGGATTGCGACAACAGACGTACTAAGATCTCTTACTGGGGCATAGCCTTGCGTTGATAGCAGAGTACAAATACAAAGCTATCTTACTGTAGCGGAGCCTTGTGTTGACAGCAGACGTACTAAGATCTCTTACTGGAGTGGGGCCTTGTGTTGACAGCAGGCGTACTAAGATCTCTTACTGTAGCGGAGCCTTGTGTTGACAGCAGGAGAATTAAGATCTCTTACTGTAGCGGAGCCTTGTGTTGACAGCAGGAGAATTAAGATCTCTTACTGGAGTGGGGCCTTGTGTTGACAGCAGGCGTACTAAGATTTCTTACTGGAGTGGGGCCTTGTGTTGACAGCAGGCTACTAAGATCCCTTACTGGTGTGGGGCCTTGTTTTGACAGCAGGCGTACTAAGATCTCTTACTGGAGTGGGGCCTTGTGTTGACAGCTGGCGTACTAAGATCTCTTACTGGAGTGGGGCCTTGTGTTGACAGCAGGCGACTAAGATCTCGTACAGGAGTGGTGCCTTGTGTTGACAGCAGATGTACTAAGATCTCTTACTGGAGTGGGGCCTTGTGTTGACAGCAGGCGTACTAAGATCTCGTACAGGAGTGGTGCCTTGTGTTGACAGCAGATGTACTAAGATCTCTTACTGGAGTGGGGCCTTGTTGACAGCAGGCGTACTAAGATCTCTTACTGGAGTGGGGCCTTGTGTTGACAGCAGGCGTACTAAGATCTCTTACTGTAGCGGAGCCTTGTGTTGACAGCAGGAGAATTAAGATCTCTTACTCTCGTAATAATATTGCTTACTGTCACAAACACTTGTCTCTTTGACCTTCACAAGCCTGTGGCCTTCACGTGGTGTTCAATACATGGCCTCCATGTGGCGTTCAACGCATGGCCTTTGCGTGATGTTCAACATATGGCCTTCACAACATGGCCTTCACGTGGTGTTCAATACATGGCCTCCATGTGGCGTTCAACGCATGGCCTTTACGTGATGTTCAACATATGGCCTTCACAACATGGCCTTCACGTGGTGTTCAATACATGGCCTCCATGTGGCGTTCAACGCAAGGCCTTTACGTGATGTTCAACATATGGCCATCACAACATGGCCTTCACGTGGTGTTCAATATATGGCTTCCGTGTGGCGTTCAACGCATGGCCTTCACATGGCGTTCAATACATGGCTTCATGTGGTGTATAACACATGTCCTTCAAGGTTACATGATGTCACAATCCGATGACATCACTCATCTCTCTGCTACTGAAACTGGTTAGCGGTACCTTTTACACTCAAGATTTTGGATGATAAATAGAATCTCGGCAAGCCTCAGCGTATTGAACCTTTACCAACCCGTGTTGATATATTTGACATCCATTGACACCAGGGTGAGATTCACTATATCTCAACTAAAACTATTTCCATATTAAGAGTGTTCGATGTTAAGCATGTTCGAAATTCAGCATGCCCTTGGAAGCCTGTTGTTTTGACCTATGGTTTAACAAACCAATTAACAGAGGGTGGCCTAAACATGTCAGTAAATGAAACACACATCAACACATGCAGTAATTACATTTATTGACAAATACACAGAAGACTAATCAGTAACATACAGTGAAACAGATCACTCAACATGGTTCTCAGGAGTTACTTCAGCAGTGGGACAATCAGGTTGGTGTCACCGACAACAAACACACCAAAGCTGGATTCAGCATGTTCAGTTCAACAATAACTCCTGTTAATTTATCATATTGCGGTAGATATACTCTAGGTACAAAGTAAGCAAGCACTGTGATGTATGCAGTTTCCACAATCTCTAACACCCATTTTACAATTTTGGGGAAAAACTTAAATGACATAATTATTACGTCAATCGAATGTTTCCCATGAAGCTTGACAACATAAATGGCCAAAGATGTTCAATATTATTAAACTCAAAGACCATAAACTGATATGGCCACTGTTAAGCTTTAAAAAAATAAACCATTTTGAATACTTCAGTAAAAACGCATGGCATGGTCAGATGACAAGATGTAAAAACACGAAATACTCAAACGATCAAGAGGTTATCAATTAATATGAATCAGTAACATGTTTGTATAAAGTAAACCAGATCTATGGCATAGGTAGGTACTGTTCAAATAAACAGATATAAAATACTGAGTTCCAGCCCAATAAACGTAACATGCACGATTCACCACACAATGATCCACGATGTTACACAATGATATTACTTAGTAGCAGGACCTGCTATTGATTCCACACCGAACCAGCCTATGTCTTTGTCATAGGAACGGAGCTGACAGATCAATGTTTAGGTTCAGGACAAGCAGATCCTAAAGGGACACAACTCTGCACAGCAAGAATGAGGCACCCCAGGCAACCGACGGACTATGACACCTCATGTTGTACAGGACACAAAGCAGTATGACCGTCCGCCAGTGTGTACCAACATATGTACCATATGGTACTGGACACCCAAACACAGGAAAGAAGCCAATTCAGGAAGGGGATGGGAGTGAGTCTGGCTTTAACCCACTATAAGCATTACATTGTGCCCATCAACAACAAATGCCAGCACAAACACTGCTTGTTGTCAATGTGATCCTGTGTCAGAGTGTGCACAGATCACTGCATCGTACCAGGATGCACTAAACAAGCTAAAATACGAGTGACTGAGTTGGGTTTAACTCCGCTTTTAACATTATTCCAGTCATATCACGGCGTGTCAGCTTAATGTGGGAGAGAAGCCCCAAGTGAAGCAGGTCTCAGACGATACCATTTCGGTGTAACCCACGAGCACAGGTATGGTGCAGACAAACCGAGAAACATAATCGGGGCGAACCAGGAATCGAACCCACTATCATAGGTTTCTGGTGTGCCCAAGGGACACAACTCTGCACAGCGAATTGCGGCGACTTACACAGCTGTGTCCCAGCAAAACCCCGAAAAAAGGACATTTTCTTTGTGGTGTTTTGGGGGCTTGTAAAGTTCAAACTTGAAAGCCGTTTTGTTCTTGGGCCTTGAAAATTCAACTTGAACCTTCTATCAAACTTCACCTTCATCATGTTCATGCTAAAACTGCCCTCCGTAGCAGCCCTTCTCCTTCCCAGGCTGTGTCTGTAGTTTATCACTGCGACCAAGTCTGGGCTCACGCTGAGGTAAGTGACTGGTTAGGACAACAGTGCTGGAATTTGCCTCGTGTAACAAGCATTAATATATTATTTGGTCTTATTGTTTCATGTTAGAATCAAATATAATAAATCCATCTCTTACCCTACAAATACATAAAAAGCATGTGAGATTCTAGCATATCAAAAAAAGAAGATTGTACACTGATTGTCCGCAGAATCAATATCTACCCAATGACATATTACTGCTTACCCTAAAACAATGGTATTGCAATCAAATATGTGTGGACTGTTAAGAAGATATATAAAATGTTCTTATGTGGGGACCTACAGACCACTGGTCAGTGCATACAAAAGTGCCGGCGCTGACCAGTGGCGTCCCCGACGCTGAGCTTTATTCTGTCTCCAGGGTGCCGTTTCTGAAGTTTGACTCCCAAGACTTGTCCTTGTTCTTCTTCTTCAGAAACATGAAGACCCAGCCCTTCTCTATCTGTAACAGTTGGAAGAGACAAGGTAATGATATCATGATATACAGGGTGATTCAATATCATAACAGGGTGGTAAGATATCATAATATACATATGCCATACCACACTGTCACAATAGACTGATACCGCGCTGTCACAATCGACTGATACCACACTGTCACAATGGACAGATACCACACTGTCACAATGGACAGATACCACACTGTCACAAGAGACTGATACCACACTGTCACAATAGACTGATACCACACTGTCACAACAGACTGATACCGTGCTGTCACAATGGACTGATACCACACTGTCACAATAGACTGATACCATACTGTCACAAAGGACTGATACCACACTGTCACAATGGACTGATACCACACTGTCACAAAGGACTGATACCACACTGTCACAATAGACTGATACCACACTGTCACAATAGACTGATACCACACTGTCACAATAGACTGATACCACACTGTCACAATGGACTGATACCACACTGTCACAATAGACTGATACCACACTGTCACAATGGACTGATACCACACTGTCACAATAGACAGATACCACACTGTCACAATAGACTGATACCGTGCGGTCACAATGGACTGATACCACACTGTCACAAAGGACTGATACCACATGGACAGATACCACACTGTCACAATAGACTGATACCACACTGTCACAATAGACTGATACCACATAGACAGATACCACACTGTCACAATAGACTGATACCACACTGTCACAATAGACTGATCCCACATGGACAGATACCACACTGTCACAATAGACAGATACCACACTGTCACAATAGACTGATCCCACATGGACAGATACCACACTGTCACAATAGACAGATACCACACTGTCACAATAGACAGATACCACACTGTCACAATAGACTGATCCCACATGGACAGATACCACACTGTCACAATAGACAGATACCACACTGTCACAATAGACTGATCCCACATGGACAGATACCACACTGTCACAATAGACAGATACCACACTGTCACAATAGACAGATACCACACTGTCACAATAGACTGATCCCACATGGACAGATACCACACTGTCACAATAGACTGATACCACACTGTCACAACAATGACGATTGCTTACCTTCAACTTTGTCTTTTCCGGCACGATGGCCCCCGGGAGCTGGCTGACATGATACTGGTAGTTGGAGTCGTCGAGGCCGCCCTTGTCCAGGATCTTCAAGGTTATGGACCTGACAGGTAAAGGAAGACGTTCATGTCGAGCGAGGAGAGAATACACACCATGCACACGAGGAAGAAATCATACACTGAAATGCCAATGAGCCGCCTTCGATAAAAAACATGTTCGGTCCTGCATGTCAATATATATGACGATACAAAATATGTGTTTTTAATGTAACAAAAGAAAAACTCTCTCCGGCTAAATGTCAGATTCAAAAGCTGCCCGTGTCCCTCAGTCCAGGGTCTTTGTGTCATTATTCTGGTGTAGGATGATCTGTGTATCTAGATATGTATCATATTGTGACCTTGTTATTATTGCATCCTTGTTGTCAAATATATGGCGGCAGCCAGTAAACAGTCCAGTCTTGACTAGACAAACCAATGATTGATATTATGAGCAATGTCCTTTGCCACTTGGGTGTAATGACATGCAATTAACCAAGCTGACCTACCAATCCATTAAGTCACCTTGAACGAGCAGCTTGTCTTCTTATTATGCATAAAAACATCTTCACATGATAAATGCCCAAACATATATTGATTTTAATATAAAAGGGTAAATGAACCATGAACATGATGAATGAGTTTTTCGTACAGGTTATCGTTGCCATACAAAGGTCCCACAAGTTCTGCATTCCCCTTCTCAGCCTGGGATCCCCTTCCTGGCTTGATCCCCTGGATCCTCATCCGAACACGGACGAATCCCGCCTTGGTCGTCTCGTCGAAATCTGGAAAAAAAACATGATTTGGCTATCAAGATCTTACTTAGATCTTACTCGGTATGAAGAAGACTTATCTTCCAAGATCTTACTTGTGGGCAGTATGTACAAGACTTGCGTGGAATATGATATCAGTTATTTACTGGTAGTGATTCCGTCAGTGATCGTGATCTAGGAGTGCAAAGCCACAGTTGTGAAAGTACAACACTAGCAATGCTGGGGCCGGGACGAGTCCAAATGTACAACCCGGGTACCCGGACCCCTAATACCTGACCCTACCCACCAGAACCCTGGCAATAACGATTTGAAACATGTATAAAATAATCTCATCACACATACACTGAACCTGCTGAAGTGACCGAAGCTGTAACTTTACTTAATCATATACACGTCAGAAGGAATGTGTGCATAGTCAGAAAAAAATGCAAACCTTAGACTTGTAGCTTAACCATGGAGTGTTATTATTACCGTATTCGACGTAATAAGCGCCCCGCTCTAATAAGCGCCCACGGTGATATTTGCTAATATATTGGCTAGTGAACAATCCCAATTGGCAACCCTTCCGACTGATCAATGTACACAAGACTTATTTATGTATAATACGCACTCGTGTGTGATATGCACCCTTAATTATGGGGAAGCATATTCTGGAAAAATATATCTGTCGTACATAAACATTTCAGGCTGTCAGCATTAACAAAGAAGGGGGGGGGGGGGGGAGGGTAGAATTTCACTTTTGAGGCTGTTTAGAGGCGCTCCTATTGTGTTATCACTATTCAGGCTGGTAAAAGTTGCATAATAGTGAAAATAAGTATGTCCCCATTTTAACAGGGAAAATTCTATCATCACTTCAAAGCTACTGAAATAATCAAAAACGTAGAAAGATGCACACCATTTTCATCGGTTCATTTGTTTAAACAGACAAAGAAATTAGACTGGTGTTTATCATTCTATGAATAGGAATTTTGATTTCAATATTTTAACCATATGACAAGGCATAATTTGCCATTTATATTTTAGATGATAAAACGAAAGCGAAAGTTTATCAACTAGAATGTCCCCGTTTGTGCGCTGAAGTCGGAGAGAGACGTCGGACTCGGAGTTTCTGGGAAGTACTGCACACTGACGCGCTTCGCCAGCCTTCCACCCCAGGCGTATGTTTCCAACATAACATTTTCATCACCATTTCCAACTCGCATACATTAGCTCTCTCTTGTACCGTTTGTTTCTTCGGATCGCGTTTAAAGGTACAAATGTCGTCAGGTAAATGTCCCAAACTTACCGCAGTCAGGCTCCTCCATGGTCGCTTCCGTGTGTGGCCACGCCCGCTCTCATGGCCTAGCCAATCAGCTACAAACGTTAATTTCCGTATCTACGGAAATACCCGGCTTTCTCACAAACAACATGGCGGCGTGGGCTGTTTCAAAGTGCAATAACAACTTTATTTGAGCGTAAATGTTTATATTCATTAACTATGAGAATGTAAAAACGAAGTTAAGAAACCTTCTGTATTCCCAGCACGCTTTTGTTCATGAAATTAAATATAAAATATTCTGACACTGTCCCTGCTCATCATGAGACCATAAATTGAGCTATTTTATGGTCTGTGGCTCGTCAAATTTAATAGCTCCTAGTCATTTGGACAGAAAGTTTTTAAAAAAAGAATTGAAAGAAAAGACAGAGAAGTAGCACTATGAAGAAAATAGAAATTAGATGACAGATGAGTGAAATGTCTACTCCAGTTCATCGATTAAAAATAAACTATAAATATGTTTGCATTAACGGTTTGATTGGCATTCTAGAAGTTGGAGAATAGATAACTAAACGTACAACTTTATGGATAACAACTTCTGGATTATTGCATATAAACGATGAATGGCTCATTGACTTGGTTGATGCATGTCATCATATCCCATTTATGTGGATCGATGCTCATGATGTCAATCACTGGATTGTCTGGTCCAGACTTGATTATTTACAGACCGCCGTTATATAGCTGGAATATTGCTGAGTACGGCGTTAAATAACAAACAAACAAAACATTTGGAGCCACACCGACTGTACATCGAAACGTTGCTATATGCAATACATCAGAAGTTGTACGTTTTGTTGTTTACATAACATGAAAATGACAGTAATTCGTACAATACCTTACCCCGATTGTCTCAAATCTCTTAATATGTGAAGTATCTACACCATATTGTCAATACACTCTGCCTGGTACTGCTAACACGTCTTGACAAATGAACTGTGTAAGTAAGTAAGATTGGTTTTAACGCCGTGTTGATGAGAAAAGCTGGATGGAACTCTAAGTATTCAATAGATATTGTCCAGTAGCACGAATATGTGCCAACACGTAATCCTAATCAGGGCGAATCTGGTCTTGGAACCCGCTACCACAAGATCTTGCACACTTATATGGACACACTAAAAAGGTTGATGCAGAGTTAAAGCGAATTGATCTAGAGCAACAGAGGGTCGAATCTGAGGAACGCCAAAAACGTGAAGAACGGAATCACCAGTTCAGAATGATGCAGATGATTTTGGGAAGAATGACACCTCAGTCACATCAGCACCTGGCCCTGGATCTCCGCACTTTGTGAATGCACCCCTCAGCTGTTCCTCAAACTCCTCACGTCGCATGCAACACAGGTTATGCAACACTACACAGGTCATCGTGACTTGCAAATTCCACTGACACATCTAGTCTTTTCTTGAGACACCGCCATCTACCTTTCAGCCGACCGAATGCACTTTCAATAGTCACCCTAGCTCGACTGAGTCTATAGTTAAATTGCTTCTGAGTAGGAGTGGGGTTTGCCTGATTGTGCAAGGTTTTTAAATCCAGGTTTTAAGGGGCTACGCAGCATCAGCAACCAAGGTAATTGGCATAATAATTTCCTTGTCTGGAGTAGTAAGTTTTCTTGGCCACTTGGGAAACAGGTAATTGTTTTCGCCTTTATGAAACAGTCCTGAATTTCCAAAGAATGTACAGTAAACTATGGTTATAACGAACTCAAAGGGACCACTAATTTTAGTTCATTATAATCGTTGTTCGTTATAAGCATATATACAGCATAACTACAGCAAATAGTCGGGACCATGAAAGGAAGTTCGTTATGTCCGTCAGTTCATTATAAGCGTGTTCGTTATAACCGTAGTTTACTGTACTCTCCCTGGCCAGCTAATGCTGATGTCGGTGGAGATGTACTTGTGGTCACATACCGCTTGTAGGATGATTGAATAGAACCCTTTCCTATTACGATAATCTCCGTGGGCATGAACTGGGCCTATTATGGGAATGTGTGTCCCGTCAAGGGCTCCACCACAGTTCGGAAATCCCCAAACCAATTCAAAGCCATCCAGCACTGCTTTCAGATCCTCCTCCTTTGGACATTTGACATAGTTCAACATCATTGTGTCAATAAGTGCTTCACAGACATCGCTCAGGCACTTCCAAACAGTTGATTTCCCAACTCCAAAGAGATTTGCAACTGTCCTGAACTGTGCAGGGGATGCAAGCCAGTAGACTGCTACATCTACGTTATGGTCACTGTCCAAACGTTCCTTTACTGGCACAGACTCATTGGACAGGGATTCCTGCAGTTCCTGACAAAGAAAGTAAAATGTTTCATTTGTCAAACTTTCCTTTTACGATGTCATTCCACCAGGCTCTGGACCTCTGTTTTACCCACGCTTTTCTATCATGAGTAAGACCCTTAGTCCTGCACCATGACGGTGGAATATATTTATTTTATAAAAATAAAAAATCTAGAAACGCATACAAAAGCAAGTCTAGCCAGCTCAAGCTAGCTCTACATAGGGAAACATTTTTTAAGTTTTAGAGTCAAGAAGGATTCTGTGTAATATACGATTTCAGAGACTAAATGTTAGTCTATAAGACCCAGTGCTAAACCAGTGCATATAAATATAGGAAAGTCTCGTCTTCTCTTCATAATAAGTAGCCTGTTCATCTTGGTTTTAAGAGCGAGTGAGTGAATGAGTTGTAGAGACTGAACTACTCTGGAACTTACGTCAGCAAATATATTTTGCACACAGCGCACTTTCTTCACGTGAACGCAAAGTATTTTTACTTTTGCTTATATGTGCACATTTACTCCGTATGTAAAGATACTCAATGTACATTTTGGCATGATAACAGGGTATTATTAACTCTCTTCTCATTCAACTTGGATTGGAAAACAACCTGTTATATGTTTTAAATCATGAACAGACTGACCAATATGTGTGCCTTACACCATTTCCATACTTTATGTACACCACCAAGGATGCTTTTCATGTGAACGCTTAGTAAATTTACATATACGCACGTATGTATAGTTACACATGTGTAAAACTACTTACGTGAGTAAATGTAGTGCATGTGAACGGGGTATACCTTGGTGGCAGACACTGTTGTGTACTGTACATGCTCTTCCCTTGGGCCATAGAGTTGGTGAATAGGGCCGCCGAATGACCCGCCTTATAGTTAGAACTATATACAGTAAACTACGGATATAACGAACCCAAAGGGTTCATTAATGTTAGTTCGTTATAACTGTAGTTCGCTATAAGTATATACACAGCATAACTACAGCAAATAGTCGGGACAAAAAAGTCAGTTCGTTATATCCGTCAGTTCGTTATAAGCGTGTTCGTTATAAACGTAGTTTACTGTATACGCTAGTTAGGGCAAGTTCACGTCATTTAGAGCTATACATACGCTAGTTAGAGATATACAAGTTTAGGTCATTTATAGAGCTATACATACGCTAGTTATAGCTATACAAGTTTACGTCATTTAGAGCTATACATATACTAATTGGAGCAATACATACTGAGGGGCCAGCGATACGCTTCTCAGCCATAAATATATACTACCATAAATAAATTCTCTACTTACTAATATACTATAGACTCTAATTAGGGCCATACATACGCTAGTTAGAGTCATACATACGTTAGATAGAGCTATGCACAGGCTAGTACACACGCTCGTTAGAGATATACAAACGCTAGTTTGAGCCATACATACGCTAGCCTAGTTGCTGAAGCGTTTGCTCGTCACGCCGAAGGCCCAGGTTCCATTCCCCACATGGGTACAATGTGTGCAGCTCATTTCTGGTGTCCCCTGCCGGGATATTGCTGGAATATTGCTAAAAGCGGCGTAAAACCATACTCACTCACTAACGTGTAAGGAAAGCCCGCAGGAACATACGTCGGTGAACCTACACCTACCTCGCCTGAAAGGTGGGCGCCCCAGTCGCCATCGTGGCCTCAAGATGTTCATTCAGTCCTCACGACAATGAAATGGGTATAGGCCCCCGACAGGTTTTGACTTTAAGCAGGGCGTTTTGTCTTGTAACAACGCCCACCATTACGAATATATAGCAAGATAACAAAACGATGAATTTACGTAGTCCCCGTAATGCTATGATACAACACGGACTGAGTCAAGACCCGCATGGGATCGACCGGACTTTTACTTGACCAGAGGCCATATACCGACAAATAAGTGGGGGTAGCACGTAATCTTTCCGATTTAAACGAACGACCCGTGAAGATCCCGGGTAGAATAGGTCTTCAGCAACCCATGCTTGTCGTATGAGGCAACTAACGGGGCCGGGTGGTCAGGCTCGCTGACTTGGTTGATGCATGTCATCGTATCCCAATTGCGTGGATCGTTGCTCATGTCAATCACTGGATTGTCAGGTCCAGACTTGATTATTTACAGACCGCCGTCATATAGCTTGAATTGTACTGAGTGCGGCATTAAACAACACCCGTCTATACATCCAGGTATAGGATAACCTTATCAGTCTATACATCCTGGTATAGGATAACCTCATCAGTCTAGACATCCTGGTATAGGATAACCTTATCAGTCTATACCAGGTATAGGATAACCTCATCAGTCTATACATCCTGGTATAGGATAACCTTATCAGTCTATACCAGGTATAAGATAACCGTATCAGTCTATACATCCAGGTATAGGATAACATAATCAGTCTATACATCCAGGTATAGGATAACCTTATCAGTCTATACATGCAGGTATAGGATAACCTTATCAGTCTATACCAGGTGGGTTGTTGAGATGGGCTTGACAGACACCAAGAATTTCACCCCCATGAAGATCCGGGTTAGCAACCCATGCTTGTTGTAAGAGACGACTAATTGGATTGGGTGGTCAGGCTCAGTGACTTGGTTGATGCATGTTATCATACATATCAATTGTGTAGATCAATGCTCATGATGTCAATCACAAGATTGTCTGGGCTGGAACATTGCTGAGTGCGGCATTAAACAACAAACAAAACCAAGAATGGCTACTTGCAGTCATGTTGGGAAGCCATGTGTTGTGTGTGACAAGTGTACAGGCCAGTCCATGGGGTTCCACACACTCCGGTTCCTGCAACCAATGACTCCACACACACAAATAACAAAACATCAATATAATGTCATATAAACTGTTTAATTCACACAAAAAGGAAACAAATAATAACTGAATATTTATGAACTATTTACAATATAAATATATTGATAATTGAACTGAAGTTACAAAACTGAAAAGCATTTAATAAACTGAACCAGCATACCGAATGAGACAAATTTGAAATGAAACAAGTTGGATCCTAATTATCAACACAACTACAACTACGTGTGCTTGAGCTTCTTACAGATGTTGCAGGGAGGAAAGACAAGTGCTGGACGTGGGTGCCGGTCAGCGCACCGGTCAGCAGTGACACAACCGACACTCATAATGACTGCAGTACTAAATTACATTGAGGAAAGGACAGTCTTTCCTGCTCTTTCATGCTGGTGATGTTTTCGAAGCAAGTTAAATTGACAGGATTATCTATGATCCTGAAACTTTACCTTATTGAACGTACGTGACGTCCACATCGGGAGATTTCCAGGACTATGTTGAGAAGAAGAACATGCTGTGCCGCCATCACAAAGGATGGGCCATAACTTACACTCACATTCTACTGATCGAGATGCAAACTGATTGATTGCCTGTCGATCTGCTTGATGTATTATGACAAGCACATCAAAGGCAGCATATGTCAGTGAAGACACTACTAAAACAATATTTGACGTGATGACAAAAGTTTGAATAAAATTCATAATTCCAAACAATGGGTGGAATACATGTACAGTGTATATATCAAAAGTACAGTTATCAAGGTTATTGCTTCAAAAGCAGAGAGTTGGAAAAATCCTAAGTAATTCATGTATCACTGCAAGATCTGATGACTTATGGGATGTGTCATAGGCAATACTCCCAACAGGGATGTATCAGCACAATAGTGTGTGTGAGAGTGTGTGTGAGTGAGTGAGTGAGTGAGTGAGTGACTCTTGAGCGTGATTCTCCAGCACCTGGTGACCCTGTTACAGAAGTCCCCATATATAGCAGGGCACACTACATGTCTACAGTAATACAGAGTTGCAAGATTACTGGAAATGAAAAGAGGATAAATATTAATAAATACTGCAAACTGAAACAGAACCACAGCGTAACAATGCCCTTTGAATATATCATACATGTGCATAATGGAACCTCCTATGCTACAACAGCACACATTGTCAACAAGGTTGGGATTCCTGCATGTTTAACATCATTGAAATTAAATTGTACAAAGTGTTCCTGAGAGAAAATTGTAATAGATTTTTAACATATTCAAGTTACTCTTACTTCTTATAATGAAATCAAAGAGATGACATACATACATTTGAAAAGCCATTTTACATAATGAAATATATACAACCAAAACACGTGTTGCATATGTTTTGGAAATGTATCAAGCTTACTTCATCCAAATAGCATCTAAATTAATCATTCAAATTTACTTCATCTTTAGCTGATCTTGTAAGTTTTATGATTTTAGCATTGATTTGAAGTACCAAGTTGCCTATATAATATGATTTCATTTAGTTCCCTTATTAGTGTTAAATCAAATAGAATATGTATACATGCACGTTGACTTCATAACGTAATCTCAACAATGAGTTGGAGTAAGTCACGTGTACATCATTTCAGCCATGGTAGACATTTTCTTTGGGATGTGTACAAAATCTTCGAAGTATCCGGCAAGTTCGTTGACGCTCAAATCATCGAGCAGTGCTTCCTGGGAGCAACTCTTGGCAGCAGGTACCTCGCCCGTGGTGTCCCTGGTCGCCGTGTCCCGGTCGGGCTGCGGGGGGGGACGGGAGGCCCTGGTGTCTGACACAGCACTGGCCACAGAATCTACACAACGCTTGGTGGCAGGTGGGAATTCCAGACCAGGTGTTGAGGACATCTGCAGCTCTCGATATCCGTTGAACTCGAATCGGGAACTCGTGGCATCCCCAGGTTTACTTGCAGGGTTAGCTGAAAGACTAGAAAAGTTAGCAAGACCTTGAGATGCATTTGATCCGAACACCTTTGATGAAGCACAAGAAACTCTAATGCATTTGGGAGGTATTTTCTTAGGGCTGTTTTCACATGTTGGTGATGAGACAACAGTCTTCTGGCTCAGCTGGAGCCGGGCCGCGCGGATCACTTGACGCTTATCTTTCTGTGCGTTGTGCAGCTTAAAACGTGCCTCACGAATAAGCTTCCTCTGTTGAACAGCGACATGGGCTAGATTTTGCTTGTGTCGTGGTGAGCCAGAAGTTGAAGGACTGTTCTTATTGATCACACAAGTGCAGAATTTCTTTGTACATTTTTCCTTGCTGAGACAAAGTTTCTGCAGTGATGTGACACAGTCCACAGGGTAGGGGTCAACTCGCGTCTTCTCTGGACTCAACCTCTGATGCTTCATGCGCTTGGGGGACACTTCATGGTCAGCTCTGCTCTCGGTCTCCCTACAAACATACACATACAGGTTAGTCACCAGCTACCATATTGGTTGTACACACTCCATCTTTGCAAATTAGATTGCCCAAATTTGTCTGTTGACATCATTCAGTAATGTGTGTCAAAATAAGGACAGTTTTGGCCTTGTGCGTAGCTTAACAGTTCAATGTCATACACTCAAATATGGATTGTCTGGTTTCATTTACAGCTCATGTGACTGAAAGTGAATTGAGGTAATGTCGTGGTGCGTTGTATCACATCTCTCCATCATATGCATTTTTTACATCTCTGAAGCTACAAGGCCTTTGGAGCTGTAACTATGTATGAATGATCCCTGTCATGGTGTCTTCAATTTGCGAAAAGAATCCTGATCTGATTGTATACATGGCCGACATGGAGGCCATATTGAAATTGTCAGTTTTGTCCATTATTCAGTAATTTCTGCATGGATCATCAGGAAACTTGATATGCAGTATATGGTATGTGGTATAACATACGATTTGGGGCATATTTTGACTTCAGCTAGGACCTTCACACACCTCTGTTACTGCTTTTTCGATAACTCCTCTGAAACTACAAGGCCTATGAAACTGAAAGTTAACTTGAAAACTTGAATCTCACAGAATTCCAATCCGATTTTTAATATAGTAACCGTTACTTTCACAATTCAGATGACCTTCAGGGCCAAGCGGCTTTATATTTAAGGACCATGTCATAATTTGCTTCCAAATGGATTGGACATTTCATTTTAATTGACAGGGTTTCCATGAGATCTGATACCTGCACATTTTAGTGAAACCGAATCACGCAGCAAAAATGTTTCAGGCATAACTAAATTACTTGGATTTGATATTGCAACTTTTAACAATGGTTAAGCTACCTGTGGTATGATGATACTTACCCTGCCCATAAGTCTCGCAGCTTGAAGGAGACAGTGCCCTCCAGCACTTTGGACTCATCCCTGCAACAGACATGTATACGTTGTAACACAATCAGAGACATTGGGCCTGTAGTGGGAATCAGCAACATTACAGTACTCTACTCCAGACAAGTAGTGGCACGATACACCGATGTATCAGTGGGTCGCGATTTTTCACTTCTCAATACAAGTTTTGATCACAACTGCACACTAAGTAAAAAGTATCGATTGTAACCTTAAATGTATTCTTTAATAAGTGTTACACCAAACACTAATTACAAGTGAAAACGTAAATATTTTCATCCATTGCGCCATACTTGACAATGCCAATAGTAACTTGTTAGTGTACCAGGTATTTGGCCATCCTGTCTGGCCACTACCCTAAATATTCATCTTCAACATGAGGACTACACAAGGGCCATCTGCCATCCATTAAGAAAACTGCATTGTGTGAGAGCACTGACATGAAATGGTAAATTCAAGCTGTAGCCGTAGGATTTGGTGTAACATACTATGTCAGAACTAATAGCATGGTCTTACATGGTGGTCTCTGGGTTAAAAAAATATCCGTAGGCCTATTCTACCCCTGAATACACTCAGGGTTGCAGGCGCCACTGGGTTCTATTCTCACCCTGAATACACTCAGGGTTGCAGGCGCCACTGGGTTCTATTCTCACCCTGAATACACTCAGGGTTGCAGGCGCCACTGGGTTCTATTCTCACCCTGAATACACTCAGGGTTGCAGGCAGCTCCGGGACCTATTCTCACCCTGAATACACTCAGGGTTGCAGGCCTGATGTGGAGCCTCCCCCAGTCCGTGAGGCCCTGTGCCACTGTGAGGAGGCCTAGTCGCACTTGCCACTGATGATCAGATTTGAGGGATGGCTAGCACCATCTGGACATATGTGACAATCTTGTCCCATCAATCTGGTGGGAGGCACAAGAGGCCACTGGTGGTATCAAAGAAGCCTCCTATGAACATCACATTCTGGGTCAATGTTAGTTCCGACTTCTCAGAGTTGAGTAACTAACCTGGGCCCTGTTCCACAAAACAATCGTAGTGCTAAGGTGATCGTAACTTCCATACTTTAACATAGACTTACGACAGTCTTAGGGCTATGATAGCTTAGTGGAACAGGCAGATTGTGACATTCCGTTGAGAAATGAGTTATTGTCTCTCAGGGTGATTCGTGAGGTCATCCAGGTATGACATGAAGCCGATCCCCCTCAGGCGCAGGTAGGAGACGATCGACTTCTTAATGCGTTTCAACAACAATGGTACTGTTGAAATACCAAATGGGAGGATGGCACATTAGTAGTTAGTTGAAGATGAATCTCAGGTACTTCCTTTGCACCTGGTGTATAGGGCCATTGAGGTAGGCGTCTTGGATGTCTAGGGTGAGGTGAAATTGGGTTTAACGTCGCGTCCAAGATTATTGCACTTATATAGCGACGTGCATGCGCGTGTATGTGTGTGTGTGGCTGCTTGTACTAGTCCGGACTGATGCCGATTTATAGTGCTAGCTCACTGAGATACCATGCCGCAGTTTAACATGAATACCCCACTCAGACACAGTATACTGACTCCGAGCCGACCAGTCCTTGTTTTAGCCCCTTAATGCCGAGCGCCAGACAGGGTAACAACAAGTACAATCTTTTAACGTCTTTTTGTATGACGCGGCCCGGGATCGAACCCTGGACCTTCCGCTCTCCGGGCGGACGCTCTACCACAAGACCACGGAGGCGGTCTGGATGTCTAGGGAGATGAGATGGACAGATGTGGCAGCGGAAGCGTGGTCATCCTGAACCACAGTGGAGGTTCTATATAGCATTGAGTGAACACCCTCATGTGAATCATGCATAGTTTCTCTAAAAAAACTTTTTGAGGGGTTTGGGGGTGTGTGGTGTGGTGTGGTGTGGTGTGGCAAAAACACTTGGGAGTAGAACCCTGGGGTAAGCTGTTGTGGGTCCAGTTCCTCTATGGCCTCCTTTTCCAGCAGGATGTTGATGTTTCCTTGGCGTGATCTGGTTGTCAGAGGGGGGGGTCGTCTCGGAGTGTGAGTAGATAGAAGAGTTTTATTACAAAGTTGTCACCGAGAGGAATCCAATTTTGCCCAATCAGAGAGAGTGTTCCCTACCGGTGAGTCGTGGATAGGGATGGCTGGGGGAGAATGTTCCCAGTCATGCCTATCCCCTGGGAAGTCACTTCTTCAAGCCTCTCCTCCTGGAGAACCCCATCCAGCCGCCACAGCTGGAGCTGCCTCTGGGGTAGGGGCCATGATTCATGCCTTGTTGTGTGTCTCCTGAGCCTGTTTAGTGAAATCATGGCATGGCTGGTAGCTGCCTGGCAGGTATTGATGTTGTCCTTCACAGCCTTGAGGGTGGAGAGTGTAGCTTTGTCAGTCTTTAATTCTCACAACTTGTCCTGCCAATGGCGTTTATAAGAGGGTTGGACTAAGGTTGACTATCCCAAGACACCTTGAAATGAGGATCCCAAGAGGAGGCAGATAGGTGGCTCTGTCTCCTGGAGAGGGCCAGCAATGCTCATGTATGGATAACGTGGTCCCTTACATAACCAAGGGATGATGCCAACACTGACTGTAATGGATGATGCCAACACTGAAAAAGAGGGAAGAGTACTCCACAATTCAGTGTCTATGGATGAGATCTGCGAGTCAGGAAATCTTAAAAGAGCCTGTCATTCTTGACAAGTGCTCCTGACACGTCAGGAGAGGGGGCCTTGTCCGCATAGCTCGGGCCATGTACTGGTTGCCTCTTAGAATGCTTTGGTGGACAATGTGTTATGGGATTCCAACTTGATTAAGTCCCTATCCAAGTTTTCCAGAGCCTTCTGGATAAAAGGACCTGGAGGCAGAGTAATGGAGTCTAAACAACCTCCCTCCATGCTGCAAGTCTGTTGAGGGTCTGCTCCTTGTTTGGGGTACCCTGCTGTAGGCAGTAAATCTGAGATCCATAGAACTATAAAGGAATAGTGAAGACAGGCATCAGGTTCCTCCTCATCATAATCAAGGTCGGAGGAAGGCTCTTGATAAAATAGGGATGACCCTGACTTCCTTGATGAACGGGAAACAGAAGGGGACTCTGCCCTACAGTGCCCGTGGAGGCGCGTAATGGACTGTGTAGGTGCTAGCCGGCAACGAGTGATTGGAACCCGACGAGTGTCTGACAGGGGAACGGTAGCACCTGGTCAGTGAGTGGCTGCGCCTAATCGGCAAATGGCTGCACCTGTCCGGTGAGTTGTTGGTTCTAACTGCCACCACCTCAGCTGACAGTGTTAGGAAATGTCCCATCAATTGCAGAGCCCAAGTGGGAAGTGCATCCTGTGCACTGGTAGGCATGGATTTTTAACTTGTTGAAAACACTGAATAACCCAATCCAACCACACTCAGAACAGTATGAAATTCAACCATGAAAGGATAGAATCTTGAAAAACAAAACAAAACAGGTAACATCCCGTCTCTCACATCCTGCTTAGCTAGCGAAGTGTGTGTGTGCGTGCGTGCGAAGGGTGTGAACGTGTGCGTGTTGATACCAGTTGTCATGAGGGTCATGTTAGACAAAAGAATCTTCACGCTGATAGATTGTCATTTATTTCCAGTTAGGACTTCGGTAGTAAGAGCAATGTGCAATATGTAATGCAGGATAAGTTAAAAATTACCATGATTGCCATATTCAAGATTGTTTCAAGGTATCAGTGTTCCCGCTGGCTTTTGAAACTACCAGTCCTTGTGGACTGGCAACTGTAAAAATTACCAGTCCCCCCTAATTGTTGCCATTCCCAACTTTCAACAATAAAAAAATGTATGAAAATTATTTGGTTTTAATTTAAAGATGCCATTTCTGAAGTAACTTAGTTAGATCTATGCGTCATTCACACAAACTTCAGTCACAATTTTCTCTTCTTTTTTTAATATTTTGAGATGAAGTCGCTACATATGGATATTTAACCTAGAAATAGATGGTAACCCTGATGGTAACAGACAAGCTGACTTTGTTCGAAAAAATGTTCTCATATGAATATCACCGATGTTTTGTTCAACAACAAAGATTTATCAGATACATTATTTGCCGGTCCACAGAGACTGGCAGTCACATGAATTACTGGTCCAAGCCTAATTTTACCGGTAAAAACCTGGTAATTACGGGTAAACGGGAACGCTGGGTATTTTACCAAATTCAGATTCAAATTCAAGGTCTTTTTATGCCTTTGCAAACCCTTGGAACTAAAACCGGCATTGTCAATATGGCTGTCATGGCAAGTTGGAAACACAATTGCTGGACTTATCGTCATAGCTTCATATACTTGGTATCAATGTCAGGGGGAGTGAGGGATCACAGCTACATCAAGGTGTGTCAGTGCATGTATGTATGGAAAACCCCAACAGGAGCAAGTCATATCCTTGTGACATATTCAAACCACAAGGGCATTAAGATCTAATCAATGAAAATAGATGGGAATTCCCTAAATGAATTACAAGGTTTATACAGAAGGATGTGACAGTATCAGACAGGATGTTGTCATAGCTTCCTCATGTAACATGGTCAGGTGGAGATCTAATGTTCCTATTTTGGAACTGTTGCAATCAGTGAGCAGTCAGTGTGATCAGAATGAGTGTGTGTGTTGTTTGTTATCAAACCAAGAAACATTGATAAACACTGATATTGCTGCATGCTTTACAAACATAACTTAATCAGGTGGGTGAACATTTGCAATTAACTACATATATGAAAGAATGTTTTACAATGTTGACTTACAGTCAACCGTTGCTTTGGTACAATCTTAAAAACACATGCTGCAGAATAAAGGTCATCATAAGAGGTCAACAATGACAGATCGAGGTCCTCATCATGCTGATAGTCAACAATGTGGTAATTTAGTACCTGGGATACAATAACATTTGTATGAAACAAGCCAAGGACGACTCAACTTACTTACCCCAGGTAATGTTAGACATTATTTACTATTTAGATGTTTAAACACTTGGTTTTGTAACCCCACCATTAGGGCAGGGATGAGTCCAAATTTACTGCCCGGTCACCCGACCCCGTATAACGCGGCCCTACCCGGGTACCCACTGCAGGTCTCAAGAGTTGGGAACAAAAAGTCTTATTGGGAATTATTTTACTGCAGCCCTGGTCAAAACTATTTAGATACATGTATCAAATGATCAGATCATTCGCACACTGAAGTCGACTGAAGCTTTATCTTCACTCAAACATATACAAGTCTGGAGGAATGTGTGCATCATCAGAAGGAAATGGAAACAATAGCGACTTGTAGTGTAAGCACTGAGCTATAGTGAGTTTTTGCAATTAAACAATATATCACGTGACTAACCAAGGGTCCAGGTAGTCCTGTGGGTACCCGGGTCCTACTCAGGACCCACACGACCCGGGTCCCTGACCCAGCCCTACCCATCATTACAATGAGGTCATCAGCTCATTCCTCCTACCAGTTAACTGTGAAAAGCTTGGCATTTTGCCCTGGGATTACGCAGACCAGCTCCTCTGGCCAATATGATTATCTTGAATTTGTGAATTACAGCAAGTAGTGCAATATTGTGTGGCGAGTTACCACCTACACAGCATTAGAAACTGGAACTAGTCCTCCCAAGCCTGAAGTCCCATTTCTTATAAACTGTTCAGGAATCAAACTGTCAGGAGGACTGGAAGGAAATACTAGCTTTGTTAGAAGTATTCTCTTACTAAAACAATTATAAATACTAGACAGCAGTTGCAGTTGTACAAGATACTGTTCCGATATCTCCTTCAATGGCTCATACAACTTGCCCAAACTTGGCACTGACTCAGCACAGGAATTTATTTCTAACTGAGAGCTCTTGGCAGGCAAACTGGGAAAACTCACAATTCTTTTCAAAATTGGGATTTTTGTTAAAGTTTTTATTTCCCAAACATCTCAAAATAGGTGTTTTAATATTGCAGTCAATGCAATAGTGTAAAACAAAGCACTAAAGCCATTTTGATCCTCTTTACTGCTCCTGTTCTAAGTGAAATACAAGTCACCTCTACAAATCCATTCCTTGCTTATCATTGGTCAAAACTATAACTACATCAATAGGCAAATTTGAAATTCCAATTTTGGAATTTGTACTGACATTGGCTGTAGACTTGGTGCCAAATACAAGCTTCTTAGCAGCAGCTTACCAGTTTGGGTCCACCTTGAGTTTCTTCAGGGCCAGGTGGAGGCCAGGGTCACTGTCACTGCCTTCACTTTCTTCTTCTTTTGTCATTTTCTCCAAACAATTGTCAGTCACCTGTGAGCAAAGATTCATTTGATAAAGGTAATGACACTCCACATAAGTCAAACAATTTCAACCAGAGATAAAGTAACGTTTATCCTGACCAAATGTTTTCACCAACAAATGAACTTGTCAGCTTCAGCATGTTTAGTAGTTGGCAACATACAGAAGCAGTGTCATAACAAATCAGCAACATGTTAATATGAATGCTTACTGGTAATTGCTATTGTATACAGACAATGACATACAGCATTGTTTGTGATTGTACAAATGTGATGTTTTTGTAAACTATGAATATCTATCATTGCTTCATAATGGCATGTAACTAAAATGTGTTCAAAGAAACTATTGTCGTGTGATCTTCTTCCTACATTTCTATGGATGCTGTTATATTCTTGTGGTGATGATGATGTACATGTGGTGTATGAGGTAAGTGATGATGATGACGATGTACACGTGATTAACGTAATTATGAAAAGAGGTCATCACTTGTTCACCATTACACGATATGTACATAATGTACAAAACATACATCCTGAAGGATATTTTGACATGGCTCAAGTCCCCCGCTTGCAAAAATAAAAGTAGAAAATAATTTCTTAATTAAAACTTTAAACCTAAAACATGGTAAATACACATATTCCATTCTATATCATGAAAACAGACATGTACTGTGTCGGACCCTCCCCTTCATATTCATTATGAGTGGGGAAAACAGACATGTACTGTGTCCGACCCTCCCCTTCATATTCATTGAGTGGGCAAAACAGACATGTACAGTGTCAGACCCTCCCCTTCATATTAATTGAGTGGGGAAAACAGACATGTACAGTGTCGGACCCTCCCCTTCATATTCATTATGAGTGGGGAAAACAGACATGTACTGTGTCGGACCCTCCCCTTCATATTCATTATGAGTGGGGAAAACAGACATGTACTGTGTCGGACCCTCCCCTTCATATTCATTGAGTGGGGAAAACAGACATGTACAGTGTCGGACCCTCCCCTTCATATTAATTGAGTGGGGAAAACAGACATGTACAGTGTCGGACCCTCCCCTTCATATTCATTATGAGTGGGGAAAACAGACATGTACAGTGTCGGACCCTCCTCTTCATATTCATTGAGTGGGGAAAACAGACATGTACTGTGTCGGACCCTCCCCTTCATATTAATTGAGTGGGGAAAACAGACATGTACAGTGTCGGACCCTCCCCTTCATATTCATTATGAGTGGGGAAAACAGACATGTACAGTGTCGGACCCTCCTCTTCATATTCATTGAGTGGGGAAAACAGACATGTACTGTGTCGGACCCTCCCCTTCATATTCATTATGAGTGGGGAAAACAGACATGTACTGTGTCGGACCCTCCCCTTCATATTCATTGAGTGGGGAAAACAGACATGTACAGTGTCGGACCCTCCCCTACATATTCATTATGAGTGGGGAAAACAGACATGTACTGTGTCAGACCCTCCCTTTTCAGACCTCTATTGAGCCCTTACACAATGCTTATACATCCCTTTCACAAACAAATAATTGATCAATTACAAAAGAATATATGAATGTAGGGATCAGAAAGTACATTTAACCTGAAATCCATAAAAAGGCAGATACTGGAATAAAAGGCCAATGTCTTGTTTACCAGAATCAGAAATATGGCCTATATGCCTATAGCAGTATGCTGAACCAACATACGACTGGTGACTTAGTCAGTCCACTTATTCATAACATCTCTTGTTTCTTTTAATTACCTCAAGATACCATTAACTGATAATTCCATTCTAAAAACTAAAAATTACAAAGTACAAACGTCAAAATAATGTTCCAATCAACCGATTTTTATAACTGTGGTAATTCCCACTTTGTCATAAAAACGTTAATAAGGGTAACATTGCACGATTGGGTTCTAAATCACTACATGTTTCTCTCTCTGTCAGGATAAACTTTATACCTAAATGTAAGCTACACATACCTTTAGCCATTCTACACTTGGCCACTCACAGGGTAAACAGTCTACAAGGATGATAGTGATAAATTCATTGCCCTTACTGTGGATAGTGGATAAATAAAGAAGAGAAAATAGGTAATACCGAGTCAGTTAAAGTTACAAAAGAGTAATCAAAATATGTGATTTCCTCGTCTGTTTACATCATCTGCCAGGAGATCAAGCAGGTCAGAGTGATTCATCATTCCACTGCGCATATTGCCTGCATGAATTTAATATTTACACATTTGACATGCTGTTATCAATGTAACATTTACACTACATCAAACAAACGCTTAACACAGCCAAGCGCGTGTCAGATGCATTATTTCAAGAAAAGAAGAAACGGATTTTCACCTTGCCAAAACACCAACGACGCCATATTGAACTTCGACTGTGATGACGTCATAAATAGAGCGCAATGTGTCAGTGCAATAATGGGCTTTTAAAAAAAAATAAAAGTCCAAATAATATTACGTCTACGTCTAACACTCACAAAACCACTTTGTACGATATATTTTAAGAATTTATGCTTTCTTTGAAATTGCAACATAGGCACACAGAAAGTGATGACGTGACCAGCAGTAGCTACGTCAGCATGTGGTGATAGAAAATTGGTTTACTTTTCTGTTATCCCATATTTTACAGTCTTTATCAAGTATCTTGCAGTAAATGACATTGTTTTAAAATGGAAGTCACGGAGGTGGTGTCTCTCCATGTTGCTTTGCCTGTTTTAGGCGTTGTTTTCTGTGCTTTCCTTGTTTTTGCGTTCGGTTTCAAGTCGCCAGCACAGCCACCAAGCTTTGACTTCGATGATGACAAGAAGCAGAGAGAAAAGAGGTCGAAAAGAAGCAAGGTATGTATGCTCGATAACACAATGTTTGTCTCGAAATGTTAGTGTATGCTTTGTTGGTAAATAGGAAACGGCTGGAATACAAATAGACCCACTGGTCACCTGCAACCTATGAACCGACTTCAGGCTCATCACCCGAATATGGCTTGTGACTTCACAGATTGGAAGGTTCCCATCTGCTAGAACAAATGAAAAAATATTTTTTTAGAATTTGCTTTTGCTGGAAATGGTTAGAAGTCTTACATTGAAATGAAAGACACTCTAGTTTGTTAATCATATGTGATAATTTCAATTTATCACATTTGTGCTTTTGTTCTTTTGTATAACTGTTGGTATTTTTTATTACTATTCCACAAGATGATTTTTACTATTGGTGCAACGAATATTGTACCTCCCACTCGTGCTGGGATGGGTGACTCTGGTACACGGGTCGGGTGGTGCTGAATAGGACCTGGGTACCCATACATGCGGATCTGTGATTAGTCATGTGATATAATGTTAAATGACAAAAATTATTTATAGCTCCATGGTTATACAAGTAGCACTAATGTTTTAATTTTTTCTGACAATTCATGCATTTCTTCTCACTTATATATGTAAGAATAAAGATAAAGCTTCAGTCAACTTCAGTGTATACATGACCATATAATTTTATACATGTTTCTGATTCTGAATACTTTTTGCCAGGCACTGTTAAAACAATTCTCAAGCGGTCATTTAATTCCCAATGGTCATATCCAACTTAACGGCAGCTCGTTGTGGACCAGGCCAAGTGATTATGAAAATTAACAAGATTTTGGGAGAAAACTACAAGTCTGTCTAGATTTTCACCTTTCTTGGTCAATGGCCTAGTGGTCGTGTCTATCCCTGGACAGATAGGTGCAACCTGAACATTCAGAAAATGCAATGTTGTTACAGAAGACACTTGTAATCATTGTGATAAGATTGCTTTGTAGAATGAAGCCCTACTGGCTTACAGAAAATTTGATTGAATTTCTTCAGAAATGGTTTCTGTTTGAAATTATTTGGATGGTTAACCTTATATTGACAGGACTAAAATGGCTATGAGTACATTATTAATTTTTTTTATGAATCTCCAAGGTGAAGAGTTCTGCCAATGGCCATGTCGCAATTGGCATTGCTGATGAGAACACAACCTCATCCAAATCAGCCTCTCCCAAAGTGTCTGCCAAACAGTCCAGTGCAAGTAACACAAGCAAGTCAAAGACACCTGAAGCAAAATCTCCCAAGTCAGACAAAAATGATAAAAAGGTGAGGAGAAACAATTGGATTAGTGCTTACACTGGCTGAGACAACACATGAGAGGAGGTTGTCAACTCAGCGTGTCGCTCGTCGGAAACCTATCTGTAGGATATGACATATGCATCATGTTTGTTTCTCTGTTCCTGTTTTCTGTGTGACATATTGTTGCCAGAATGGGAAGGACATATTATTGGTGTTGACCAATTGTCTGTCTGTCAAACTAATATTTTTGCATAGCAATCCATGGCTGTGAGTTGTCTCCCTTAGTTCTCCATGTGGGTTCTGGGTTAGAATAGATTCACAGCAATGGTGCAGGTGGTCTAGCTCAGTGAATTCATCATACATTGATGGTGTGGATTGTTGCTCATAATATCAGCCACTGGATTGTCTGGTCTGCTCAATTATTTACATGTTACTGTCATATAGCTGGAATATGGCTGAGTTCAGCATTAAAACAACAAGCATGTGATGGGATCTACTGATTGAGGGTGCAAGCCCCTTGCCCTGATTATTATCCTTGATGCGTCGGCTCCCTGTGTGTGCTGAGAGTTCAACACTGTTTAACAGTTAAAACCACAACAGACCGCCATCATTTAAGTGGAATATTGCTGAGTGCGACATTAAACAACAAACAACAACACTGACTTAGAGCTGACAGTTTGAATGATCTAAAACTTCTTGTTTGGGCTTATAAAGGCTATGTAACCCTAAAAACCTTAGCTATTAGAGTCGTTGGATACAATGGTTCATGCGCACCCAAGTTCACACCATTGCACATAAGTTTTCCACCATGATTTACCTCCCTTGACACACCCTGTCTTCTACATCCACAAACTGTCGGCCATGGATCCGGCAAGCAGGGATGTGACATGTGCCCCTATTGCCAAGAAGGGGCGATTTGTCAGAAAGCGTGTTCATTTGAGCCTAACAATATCATAAAAGACACTAAGAGAAGGAAATTGGTGCTACTTTACCATCATTTTCCTATAGGGGCGGTCGTGTAGCCTAGTGGTTAAAGCGTTCGCTCGTCACGCCGAAGACCCGGGTTCGATTACCGACATGGGTACAATGTGTGAAGCCCATTTCTGGTGTCCCCCGCCTCGATATTGCTGGAATATTGCTAAAAGTGGCATAAAACCATACTCACTCACTCATCTTCCTATGACGACACTTCCTTTATATCATGTTATATACAAATAGATCATGAGTTGCATGTTGTTTTCCAGCAGGCCAAGAAGCAGTCAGCCAAAGAGGAAGCGAAGAGCAAATCCAAGCCAGTAGTAGAAGATGATGGTAACTAGGCCACATTTGTGCTGACAATTTCAGTATTTATCATCTTAGTTTGTTGTATCTTGTGTAGAGGATATCCATTTTTTCAAATTTGTTTGTTATTGATGGTGCTAATTTTTGGCCTCTGACATTGCATTGAAGAGATGTTAAATATCAATAGTTGACAGCAGTGTAATTCTCAGCTATCAATCATTTGTGGCGATGTAATAAAATGGAAATGATTCGTATGCTTAAGAGCTTTAGAACTTTAGTTAATACTCTACCATTCTTTTTTTCAATCGGAAAATATTGTGTATTGACAATGAAAGAATCACCTTAAACCTTCCTCAAACTTTCCTGTGGTCTTCTAAACCTAACCAGGGGCGGTCTGGTAGCCTAGTGGTTAAAGTGTTTGCTCGTCACTCGGAAGACCCGGGTTCGCTTCCCGACATGGGTACAATGTGTGAAGCCCATTTCTGGTCTCCCCCGCCGTGATATACCTGGAATATTGCTAAAAGCGGCGTTAAACCATACTCAATCACTCACTCACTCACTCACTCACTCTAAACCTAACCATTGCTGAATGGCTGATGTCCTTCACTATTGCACAAAGTCAACTAAAGCCAGGAATTGAAACAAGCCCCTCTAGCCGTGGAGGGGATGTATTGCAGTCGTGCTGCAGTTTTATATAAATTGTTACAACCTTAGAACTTGCCTCGATAGCCCCCCTACATTTGTTGTCAGCAGCAGATGGATGGGTTACAAAGACTTCTCGCAAAGTGAAGAAGCAGAAAGGCAGCAAAGATGAGAAAGCTGACAACAGCTCTGACGAGCGCAGCAAGCCCAGCACCTCGGAAGACAAACCAGCCCCGGAGGTGAAGCAGGAAACTACGGTCGTTCAGACCGAGACGGAGGTCAGCCCGAAAGGTCAGCGTCCAGCTAAGAACAAGAAATCGCCAAAGGTATGGAACACTTCAGTTTGTGTCATTAATCAGTCAGTGTGAATTGTTATCAATCAATATATTATGTGCTGGCTTAGTGGTGTTTGAAGCAAAGTTTGTTTGTTTGTTGTTAAACGCCGCACTCAGCAATATTCCAGCTATATGACGGCAGTCTGTAAATAATCCACTATGAGCATCGAGTCACGCAATTTGAATACGATGACATACATAAACCAAGTCAGTGAGCCTGACCCACCCGATCCCGTTAGTCTCCTCTTAAGACATACATAGTCACCTTTTTTGCTGAAGACCTATTCTACTCCGGATTCACGGGTCTTTGTAGCCAAGGTGGTGGAGGGAGGTGGTTAGTTAATTTATTGGGTGTCCTCATTCATGCGGAGGGCCAAGGGTCTGCTGTTCCTGTTTGTGCAGTACTATTTAGAATATATGGGACGTTCTAGAAGCAGCAGATGACATTCTAGAAGCTGGAGTATCGCTGAAGACACAATTCACTTATGGATTTCAACTTCCAGTGCAACATTTCAACTGACTGACCGACCGACCGACCGACTCACTCACACACATACATACACACTAACACTAACACAAATTATGCCATAAGGAATCTGTCCTTCATGTCAATTGGGGCAGGAAGATGAGTCGAAGTAGGACAGTTTATGAAATAGCATTGTCTCATCCAAAACTGGCTTCCACAGGAGTCACTGCTTATTGAGATGAAGTGATATCTACAAGGAGATACACTCACTGCTTGTTTTACAGAATGAGAAAGACAGCGAGGAGCCAGTGAAGGTTGCTGAGCCCAAGACAGCAGCTCCACCATCGGCACCGGCACCGGCACCGGCACCGGCACCGGCACCGGCACCGAAACAAGACAAGCCAGCGGAAGCTGCCCCTCCCCCAAAGATGGCACCAAAAGAAGCTGTAAGATTTGTAATGTTTTCCTGATGGATCTATACCAATTGTATTTGGGGGTGAGAAGGCAAGTTGACCTGTCGCCAGATAGGGTGCAACTGTTCACAGTTGAGCCAATTTGTGAGATCAGAATAGGAGGCTCATGGTTTCGAATCCCAGATTGGCTCTGGGTGTTATTCTTGGTGGGTCAGCTCAATCCCTGTACTTGTGGTTTCACAGGCGTGGTAGTGGTGTCGGACCTGTTTCATGTTTGGCCATGATATGGTGCTAATATAACGGAAGTACTGTTTTGGTGTCCCCCTCCCATGATATGGCTTCAATGCTCAAACTGTCGTCACTGTCATATTTTTGGTGATAGAAATACAAAAATAGTGTTCAAGCAATGTTTAGTCCAACTTACTCACTCACTCACTCACTCACTCACTCACTGTCCTGGTAGGGGCAGCTGGGTAGCCTAGTGGCTAAAGTGTTTGATCTTCACGTCGAAGACCAGGTTTGATTCCACACATGGATATGATGTGTGAAGCCCATTTCTGGTCTTCCCTGTCGTGATATTGCTGGAATATTGCTAAAAGTAGAGCTGGCTATTGATAGAGATCATAGAGGTCGATAATCGCTGACTAAATATTGATCACTTATCGATAAATATCAGAGAAGTAACTTTAAGCAAATATGCAAGAAAATCATCGAAAGAAAGCAACATATTTCACACCACTGGTGAGCAATGACACATTTATTCTTTGATTACTTTGAGGACATTTGAAATATAACAAAACCAGTTGCTTTGATTTGTCTATTTATTTGTTCATCCTGAGAAAACATGGAATAAGTTGTTTCACTGTAAGTTGGTTAGATGGCCAGTGGTTAAATCGCTGGCTCGTCATGCTTGTGCAATGTGTGAAGTGCATATTTGGTGTCTCCCCCCCTGCTGGCTGGGATATTCCTGAAACTACTCACTCACTGTTGTCACATGACATTTGTTGCTGAGCCATGTCATATGGGTTCTTTGATTTGCAGGAATTTACAGATGTAAGCCCAAAGAAAAAGTCAAAATCTAAAAAGGATAATAAAAAAGGCAGTCCTACTCCTGAGGGCAAACCCTCCGAAGTTCAGGACATTCCCAAACCTGTGGAGCCTGAGGTCAAGGTCACTCCCCAGCAGCCACAGGAAGAACCCAAAATAGTTAAGAGTCCAAAAAAGAAAAAGAATAAGGAGTCTTCCCCAGATAAAACTGACAAGGTAAGAAAACCCCTCGTATGCTTCATTTGTACTGAGCACCATGAAGAACCGGGATTTGTTAGACGTGTTTGGTCACTGTCATCTAATAGTAAACAATGAAATGACTGAATTTGTTTCTTGTCATGTGTATGACTCTTTGTATTGTTTTATATTCCCACTTGACATCTTTCCCAAGAATCATCAGTCGAGCAGTAACTTCCTGACTGAAGCTCTGCACAGGGAAATCTGGCTGGTCTGATTGTCCTCTTATAGAAATATGTGACACTGCTTGGTTGTTATGCGTTTCTACTCAGGCTTTCATTTTTTTTCAGGTTTTACAAGCTAATAGTGAAAATAAAGGTTCACCAGAAAAAAATAAAACTGATAAAAAGTCTATAGCTGAGCCGCCTGAGAAGAGTAAAAAGACAGCATCTGAGCCGCCATCAGCCCCAGGTAAGTCAGGGATACTACCTGGTACACCCGGTATTCTCTGGTACTCCCCAGTACTCCCTGGGTACACTCTGGTATTCCAGTACCCCACAGTACTCCATGGTACTCCCCTGTGCTATCCCGAGACTCCCTGGTACTCCCTTGAACTCTCCAGGCCTCCACGGTACTCTCCAGTACTCCACAGTACTCCATGGTACTCCCCTGTACTATCCCGGGACTCCCTGGTACTCCCTTGAACTCTCCAGGCCTCCATGATACTCTCCAGTACTCCACAGTACCCCACAGTACCCCATGGTACTCCCCTGTACTATCCCGGGACTCCCTGGTACTCCCTTGAACTCTCCAGGCCTCCACGGTACGCCACAGTTAGGGGTGACTATTGAGGCATTTTTTACTATTGTGATACTATTGCGATAGTTAAAACAACTATTGCGACACTATTGCGATAGTGGCCCTACTATTGCGATACTATTGCGATAGTTTTCACTTGCAATTATAGCAGGCTTTAGCAGCATATATTTCAGCATTTTGACTGACACCATCAAAATAATTATAACTTTCTGATACTATTTGTAAAGAAAACAAGAAATGAAAAGAAAACAAGTTCAAATTGACCTCTCTAAAACATTTTAATACAAAATTTCACTTCATGTAACTGGTAAAGTCTTAGGTTACTGCAGTGTTTTAGCACCAATGTGAATGAATGTGATTGAATTACTAGTATTTGACTATACAAACTGTCAAACTAATTGTCACATTGGCATTCACTGAATGACTAAATGCGTTTCAAGTTCATTCAACGTATCAATTAGGAAACAAAGTTGACAAAAACTGCATAAAAGTAGACTCAGACTTTTTCACGTGGACGAATATCTTGGTGCCGTCTTGTCAAGTGGTTGGTCAGATTAGTAGTATTTCCTGAATACTTTAGAATTATCCGACAGATTCTACAACTTACTTTTTGCTTGTCTGTCTCGTTTTGCGCTTTGACAAAGCCAAAATGGTCCCATACCCACGATTTGCCTGCCTTATGTGCGACATTTGTCAATGTTGCCTAGCGACGAGTAGCTAAGGGTTGTAACTCTTAATCAAGCAGACAAAGTAGTGCAAACCAAACGAAAGCACCACAGAGGTTAGATGATCATAGGAGTTGTTTCTATGTTTTTTAAGAAAGTAAATGTACCTAACAAATTAACTATCGAAACTATCGATAGGTAGACAAACTATCGCCAATAGTATCAATTGTTTCAAGTTGCAATCGATAGTGTACTATCGCGAGACAAGCAATCGCAATCAATGGATAGTTTGATGTATCGTTACACCACTACCCACAGTACTCCATGGTTCTCCCCTGTACTATCCCGGGACTCCCTGGTACTCTCTGCCCTGGATGATGGGGATGATTGGGGACTGCCATGATAAAGCTGGAAAATGCGGGAACGAGTGCGGCGTTAAAGAACAAGCAAACAAACAAGCAAAGCAATTAGTGGATTATCTTGTACAGCCTTAGTTATTTACAGGGAGCTGTCCTACAGATGAAATATTGCTATGTGCTGCGTTTAACAAAACGACAACGTAGCCACATGTATGTTTGTTGATGTTGCAGATGCAGCCACTGCTGCCAAGGGCGATGTGGGAGGTGCTGCTGGTGGTGATGCGGCCAAGGCGGAGGCAACGAAACCTGTCACATTTGATGAGATGGGTGGAACTGGAGGTACGAGAATGGCTAACGATGGTTGTGGGCAGGGGGGACGTAGTCATGAGGGAGCGCTCTGCGGAAGTCAGGTCGGGAGTGAAAACATGGTTGCCACTGAAGTGTCAGCAATCAAATTTTTAAACTTATCCTATGCATTTCTTCTTTCTTCTTTCTTCTTCGATCCTATTAGGAAACATGCTCAAACAAAGATTCCATCTTCTAAAAAACTATTCGCTGAACACAAAATTGTGCTGATGTACTAATTCTTTGCATTTGTTTCCTCATCTTGTGACAGATTCTTGGGAAGCTGTTCCTAAAAGTAAAAAGAAGAGATCCCGTCGTGAAAACTAGGAACACTCAAGATAAATATTGCTGCCATGGTGATGTGCAGTGGGGAGAACAAGAGCTGTCTCCCCTTACCTCAGATGTACTGGAAGAAGGCCAGCCTATGCTCATGTTCTCAGACAAAGTTTTGTTGGGGGGGAAGAGGGGCCAACTATATTTTTGTGTTACAAATGATCTAGTCAGCCATATATTTAGTCGTAAAGATGCTACTGTGATAGGTAAACTGGAGGCTGGTCGAAGAAGATATCTTTTCTATTGTAGATTACTTACCATTTGGGTTTTCACTTTCCGAAGTTTAAATAGGGAGTGTCAGGTGACATGGTGCTTTAAAACATATTTTTATGATTACTTAGAGAGAAAAGTATGCATTGTATTTTGCTTTCACATTTCATTCTCATCATGCTTATATTGTAAAATAAATCTTTGAGTTCATGCCTCAAACAAGGGAGGTAAGTGTGTCTCCTGTTAACTAATCTTAAATGGCCTTCTAATGCAATTGTCTTGATAAGGGTTCATATATGTGATTGTTCTCGTCCAATCATCTTCATCGTGATCTCACCGATGAAGAGATATCTTCTTCAACTGGTTGGGATGTAACGTTCTCCACTGATAGCAGCCCCCTGCACAGGTGTAGTGTTGTGTACTCCTGTACAGTGTTGAGTCTACGTGACACAATGTAGGGTCTATGTGACACAATATAGTCTCTACATGACACAATGTAGGGTCTATGTGACACAATATAGTCTCTACATGACACAATGTAGGGTCTACGTGACACAATATAGTCTCTACGTGACACAATGTAGGGTCTATGTGACACAATATAGTCTCTACGTGACACAATGTAGGGTCTACGTGACACAATATAGTCTCTACGTGACACAATGTAGTGTCTATGTGACACAATATAGTCCCTGCATGACACATTGTAAGGTCTACGTGACAGTGTTGAGTCTGTGACACAATGTAGGGTCTACATGACACAATGTAATCTCTATGTGACACAATGTAGGGTCTGTGACACTATGTTGAGTCTATGTGACACAATGTAGGGTCTACGTGACACAATGTAGAGTCTAAGTGACCCACAATGTAAGGTCTGTGAGAGACAACGGCTGTTCAGTATTTCATTGATATTGTTTCCTGGACCAAGTCCATTCACTCAGTAATAGGGACCACTGTCGACATGAATAATTCCTATTCCTGCAGGGTGGACCCAACGTAAACGTGAAAGCTCAACTCATGCTTGTTCTGATTCTGCGCAGGATTTGATTCAAACTGACTCCTAAAAAATAGATTGCCTAACCATTTGTTTTAATTGTGGGGGTAGATCTGCCTGATTACCATGTGGAATCTTCGATACTTTGACAAGCGTGTATTGTTGACGGAATATTTCAGTCAGTCCATTGGTTGTGAGACATCATTACAGGTGGTGTTGGGAAACATGCATGTTTAAATGTAATTGGGGAGATATAGACGAGAATGTGCCAAAGCAGGTATTGAAGGGTGCCAAACTCACAAAGCATCAATCTCATTCAAATCAGATTATTGCTAAACAAAGATCTGAGGACATTCCATTACGGGTCATGTCAGAACGACCTTTCATCCGACCAATCAAAGCGCTTACAAGATCATGAAAGTGACAGTCGGAATGTGGTTTCTAATCATGCAACCTTGAAAACGTTTTCATGGGGTATTCCCAACGACAGTTATGGCCCGTACGACTGATTCCGTCAAAATTATCGTCTATCTCTCGCTTCTATGGTATAAACATTTAAACGGAAGAGGCATTGCACAGTATGTAGGAAGCACTGCCATACAATCTCAACCATATATTAGACATTCAGGAATGTTTGTTTTTTCAGTTTTCAAAATTTTAATCGATAACACTGACAACATATCTGAAATGGAAGTCGCCAGGTTGAAACAAGTGCTGTAAAGCTTGAGAAAGCTGCTTTCTAATTTGCTGATGTCGACTTCTTGTTAGTCATTTCAGTGGTCAGTCAAAGTCCGCCCTCAGATCTTTGTTTAGCGGCAGCGAGAACTTAGATCTGATTTTGATGAGATTGACAAAGCATAATCTGGTCAGCGTGAAGCATGTGAGCAAGTCTAGGACAGATCATTGTAATTACATGTGGTTGACTTGAAGGTGTCGGAGAGGCCGTCTGACCTGAGCCTGAGTGAGAGTCATCGAGACCAGGACAGCTGTTGGATGGGTTTAGTCACACCGGAGACACCTGGCGCTCTTTAGTGTGACGTTGGTATTTCTACACAGCCTGAGTGAGGGAGTGTTAGTTTGTATTTGAATCAATGCTCAATAATGAAATTCACATGAGGCAGATGGAAAACAAGCCGTGTATGTTGCCAGCTGTAGTGAGAGAGGTGGGTGCGTATAGGAGTGGGAGGGGAGGGTGTGGGAAGGGAGGAGACGTGATTGTGGGTATAGGGGAGGGGGGAAAGTGGTGGGGGGTGGGAGGGAGTGAGGGCGTTATGAAGGGCAACTCTGGTATATGAGGCTTCAGTGTAAACCAGCCTCACAGGGGCTACTGTATGGCAGCTAATTACTTCTTTCTCTGTATTGAAGCAGATTGCTTGATGGTGTATTTCCCTGCTCCAATACAAAGCCCCTAAAAACTGCCACCTCGGACAGATCGCCTCACAATGTTCATAGAAAAATAGTTCTTTATGAAGCGTTATACTGTTCAGCAAGCACCTGTCACCAGTCTAGGACAATTGTTGGTGCAGTGTATGCACAGTTCAGCAAGCACCTGTCACCAGTCTAGGACAATTGTTGGTGCGCAGTGTATGCACATTACAGTAAGTAACTGCACACTGCAGCAAGCACCTGTCACCAGGACAACATCGCAGTCCAGACACTGGTTAGATGCTGTGTTGATCAGTTCCTCATGATGTTGTGTGACTCGCTCATACCCCGCTATCAATACAGCTTTTTCAGTTCTAGATATGAATTAAGGTTAACTGTTTGATTGACATTCTAGAAGTTGGTGAGTAAGTAAGAAAACATATAACTTCATGCGATCAACTTCTGGTTGCATGTAGCGACATTTTGATGTAGATTCTTAAACAGTTGTCAAGCTGGAGTGACCACATGTACATGTTGAACTTGAGGGAGTGACATGTCAGCTTGTACTCACGGTCTGCAAGGTTGCAATATACCTCTTTTTGCAGTATGTAAGACTCTTGTACCTCACTCACTCACTCACTCACTCACTCACTCACTCACTCACTCACTCCAGGATTTTAATAGTGTCTGTAAGATTAAATATTGTTTATTTAATGAGAAATAGACAATCAGATGTTCCCACCTACTTAATGCCCTGTGCATCTGACAATGCATAATATGCCATAAGGAATCTGTGCTTCATAAACTGTCGTCACAGCTGTGGTCCTTTATGTCAACTGGGGCAGGAAGATGAGTTGAAATAGGACATTTTATGAAATAGCATTGTCTCATCCAAAACTGGCTTCCACAGGAGACTTCACTCAGGTGAGATCAAGCAATATCTTCAAGGAGATCTCGCTACAATGAAATTGCATCACAGTGCTTTGCAGACCATTGTGACATCATCGGTCACCTTGGCCTCACAATCAAATGACATCACTAGTCTCTCTGCTACTGAAGCTGGTTAGCTGAACCTTTTACACTCAAGACACTGGTTATTACCGTTTACAAACTGAAAAAGTTTAAACAATGATTTGTACGATAAATAGAATCTCACCATCGTGTCTTTTGACATTACATGGTCACTGGTTCGTTCTAGCAAGTGCTACGTGTTTGCTATGAAGTGAAAGCTTTAGAAACTTGGTTCAGTTAAACAGCTGTCAGCCTCAGTCATAATCTTGTTGGCGAAGACTGTTGAGTCTGGCGTTGATCTGTGGAGACAGAATGGGCATTCTATTCCTTAATCAAAATCCTCATCAATCTTTCTGAAGAACTTGTATATTGTTTGTCTGTCCATGATAACTTTGACTTTAAATGGCTCATGTAAACTTACCCTATGATCATGATAATATTAACAAAATGTCTTTTCCAACCAATGATATTTTAGACAAAGGATTCATCAAAATGTTCATTAGTCATGACATTGTGCTCAAATATGTGTGCGGTGATATTGTTCAGTGCTTTGGGAGAGGGGAATCGTGTGTGTGTGTGTATGTATCTGGAGATCTAGAGATACTGGCCTACAGTATTACTGTCAAATAGCTTGTACTTTCCCTACAGTCGTAGCGTTACAAGACTCTAAATACTTGATTGTCCGAACTGATAAAAACATTGCTTTGAGAAAATTGTATATGTGAAGATTAATTACTATTTACACATTTGTCCATATAGTTTTTTAATCATTGGTTGGTGAACAGCCAGTCGTGGTGGTTCCTCGGTAGTTTGGTCCTGGGTGTGTTCGCTTTCACTTTTTAAAGGGTTGAAGCCAAAGCTTGTTCCTATGAAAAAATGACATTTTGGGGATAAGAATCTGGTCAAGTCAACAAATTAATGTTGCTGTGATTTAGAAAAAATCACTATTTTATACAGGACTACATATAGGTGGCTTGCATACTGACCACTCATGAGGACTGACAACTTGTTATACTCACCTGGGGGCAGATCACACCAACATGGAGGTGTAGGGAGTTGTGCTTAACTTAACAATAATGCAGTCTGCAGCTAATCAAGATCTCCACTTCCACATTGTCGTCTTCCCCAACATCGTCATACACATCGTCTTCACAACGGTGTACCGGTCAGTAGCAGTGGACTCTTTTTTCACTTGTGATATTTGCTGAATGATGTGAAGGCCTTCGAGGCTTGATTGCTTGTGCCACATTTACACCTGGAAGAAAGGGATGGCACCACTTTCGTTATATTTCCATATCCTCCGGACATCCAGGCTTTACAAGAAATAATTTTGGAATTAGGTTCGTATAGGAAGTAGCAGATGAAACCCTTAAAAATAGGTGAAAATACTAGTTTCTAGTATGGTGTCAGTGGAAATACCCTGAAGAACTTAAATTTCCATAAACACATTTCAGTCAGCTTAAATGTACACACATTGACTTTTTTCCCCCAGCCTTTCTTTGTCTGTATTGAGATTACTGCTCTTTCTGCAGATACCATACTGTTAGATGTTTTCATCATTGGTCTTGCCGTAAAAAATCACTGAAAAGTTTAGATTTTTTTTGTAACTTCAAATGGCTATAAAGGCATTATTTTGGTGTTTATATTTATTATAGTGATACTGTCGAATGCACAATTCCATGAGCTCTCTAGGAAACATGGTATGGCTACCAGTGGAGGTCACCTAGCCAGCCCCAAATGCATTATAGTCGGAAATTGTTTGAACTGGATTTGGATGTTCAGAAGATATAAGAAAAGTCATTTTCAGAACAGTGTCCTGTTATTAATGTTTGGATGTACATGTATCATTTGTTTTTTGTTGTTAAGTGACATACTTTAAATGAAATGCAGAAACAGTGATAGATAATCTCCTCAAAAGTTTTGTTACTTTTCCTCCTTGGCAATCATTCTCCAACTACCCCTTCACTTGCATCCTGTGGGAATCGGATTAACTTGTCACCAGTTATCCATGGTTTCCAGTTGCCAGGTCCGTGTAGTCTCTTCAAACGCTATGTTGAAGTGGGGGACGTAGGTAAATATAGAAAGGTGGTGAATAACCTTTTTTCATGTGTTATTAAAGATATAATTGCCAGTTCCACTTTCCATTGTGATTTGAAACCTCAGATTGACCAATCAGATTGGAATATTCACCCATGTCAAACTACATGAGGTTGCTCAGCTTTTTCAATAATGATAGAACACTTTAATTGCAGCTAGATGTCGGTTTATATAAGGCCAATGGGAATAGCCAAAATATAGTTGTTACAATTGTTAAAGTTTTCAAAGCCAAACTTATACTATTATCCCATTTTTGCTGACTCAGCTGTTGATTCAACAGTCGACTCTCGTTAATTTGACGACCCAACTACATATTGTCTGAGATAACCAGATACAAGGTCCACTGAGGCTCCTCAGACAGATTGTTGTACAAGCCATCTGTTGGCAATTACCACCCACTGATAAACCCAGCAACTGATAAGCTCATCCACTCTTCCCTTGATAGGGCTAATTGCTTTACATTCACCTCAGTCCGTATATAAGTCATCATTGAACTATTGTTTGGGAGGAATTTTGTTGATCTCTTCCCCTCCCCCGAGATAAATAGACGTGACAGACAATTCCGGTTCTTTGAGTTGCTGTAGTTAAGAGAGTCGACTGTTATTTATCCTTCTAGATAATTGTGCATTTGTATTTATTATAGTTGTTTAGTTCTGTGCAATGCTGTTCATTATACAGACAGGACTCCAATGAAATTGTTAATGTTTTAGATTCTGTAAAAGTAGTATTTCAACACTTTATCCTGTTTATCTTTGTACAGTTTCACATGCCCCCCTATGACTTTCATTGTCAGCATTGTGATGTCATTGTGATGTCCGACTCCTGTCTACTGGGTGGTTTCATGTCATTGTGTGTTATTCTGAGTAACCATGGTGATGGAGATGGTTGTAGACACTTTCTGTCTCGACAGGTGGGGGGCTGATTGATTGACTGATGTTTTGTAGATATTTTCATATGTATTCTTTTACAGTATGAGAAGAAAAAATATTTTTGTTATTTTGTTTGCAGAAATGTATTGTCATAAATCATTGGTGCTTGTCCATCAGGAACAGATGCCATTGTCAGCACATAGTTTCCATTAGATACCAGAAATTCATGCTGTTTACGAGGAAACATGTTTTAATTTGTTGACTTCACATCTCCAGCTATTTCACATATGCTCAAATATTTTACATCAATTTGTATATAATATCATAGATAAATAAAAGGGTAGTAGTTTAGGGTGTTTTTGTTTTTGGAATGCATGTTTTGTAAGTCAACACTTATTTTAATGTGAAATTGTCGGAAACATTTATCAATCTTTGAATAGACTCTTGCTATGGAAGCAGGGGACAAAAATGCAACTTCCTTGTGACTATGGAGTTAATGCCTGCAAATTAATGAAACGGTAAAGACGTTAATTGTTTTGTAGGACACTGACATACTTTCCTGTTGTTCACAGAGTCTGTCATGGAATATGAGGAAAAACACTCTGGAATATACCATATTCACTCCTAATCATATTGTCCTTATACACCAGACAGTAGAGCATGTTATGGACAGTGTGTGTCTGACTCAAACAGCTGTATGGGTACAAGATCTGTGTACATAGAGGCGACACCTACCTCGCAAAACTAACCTGATTTGATGGATGATTTGTCTCTCCTGAGAAGTCATGTCAGCATGCATTTGACTCAACACGACTTGCCAAACCCCTTTAAATATGTTTTTTAGTGCACTGAAGACTGGTCAGGTGTTGCTGAATAGCTCAGTACATTTTTCCTAATTATCACATGTTTGAGGTACTGATGTCCCATACTTAATACAAACTTACAACAGTGTTGTACTATGTACATCAAGTATTGTCTCCAGTGTTGTAGCAAAGTATGCCACACATTTCTGTAAATATACTTGTACAGAGTTTAAGACTACACCCATGTCACAGCCTCTTAAAGATGGTTATTGGTAATTTTAAAGGGACATAGCTACTATATCCAACGGACAACTTGTGTGCATTGGTCTCTGTTTTACAATGGAATATTGCCTGTCTCAGTGATTGGTTTTAATTAGGATGATAGAGTTATGTCCCTTTTCTGGTGGAGGTGCACTGGTTTGGGATGTAATAGAATGACAGTATGTGTTGGTGCAATGTCTAAAGTAATTGCCAGATTGTTGTTAATGGGTCAGCTTGTTGATAAATGCACGATTTCAAAGACTATATTTTGAGATTCTCATTGACTGTATGTATGTTTATGGTTAGTCATCTCAGAATTGAATAAAGCATTATCATTTGATTTTCTCATGTTGTTTATCCGGTGATTGACATCATGAGCATCGATCCAAGCAATTCGGATACAATGACATGCATCAACCAAGTCAGCGAGTCTGACCACCCGAGCAGCAGGCAGGGTAACAAGTACCATTGTTCAAACATCATTTAGTATGATGTGTCCGGGGATTGAATCACAGACCTTCCACTCTCCTGACAGACGCTCTATCCAGTCGGCCTCATCGAACCTGTTGTGTCACAGATCGACTCCACCACAACACGCTAGCTTCCAGCTATGTACAGTATTGTTGATATTTCTATAATAAATTTCATGATGGGACCATGACACAGCAGCAACTACCGAGGAGAAGCAGAAGAGGAATAATATGCTTGTAGCCTTCTGACACAGATGACCAACCTTTGAAGTCGGTAGACACAGGTGACCAACCAATGAAGTCGGTAGACACATGTAACCAACCATTGAAGTTGGTAGACGTCAGCCAACACAGAGGACACTGATGTCAACCCTGGATCAACCATTTCCAATATGGCTGCTACATTATAGGACCAGAACTGTGTGAGGACTTTATAGACACCATTCCATTAATAAGACAAAAAATTCAGCTTCATAACACAACATCCCAAAGTCAAAATACACCCCTAATGTATCCTTCATTCCTCCTTACAACATGCATAACTCCATGATGCACGGCAATGCATGTAATAGGGTGGGTAGCAGGTAAAACAACATTTTAAGGACTGTGAAATGACACAAATGAAAATGCCTTCAATGGTCGGGGAAAAAAATCGGCTAAAAACTGGAGACTTGTACAAGATAAAGAAGCAACTAGTTCATGGAAATCTTTATTCCTTTGGAATAGTCAGACATGTTAAAACATAGAAACACATAGCCCTGGTTTGATGTACACAAACGGACAGGACACCCTCTACAAGATTGGTTTAACACATAGTTGCAGGATATGAGCCCTGGTATAACACACTGCTGCAGGATGTGAGCCCTGGTTTAACACACTGCTGCAGCATGTGAGCCCTGGTTTAACACACTGCTGCAGCATGTGAGCCCTGGTTTAACACAATGCTGCAGGATGTGAGCCCTGGTTTAACACAATGCTGCAGCATGTGAGCCCTGGTTTAACACACTGCTGCAGGATGTGAGCCCTGGTTTAACACACTGTTGCAGGATGTGAGCCCTGGTTTAACACACTGTTGCAGGATGTGAGCCCTGGTTTAACACACTGCTGCAGGATGTGAGCCCTGGTTTAACACAATGCTGCAGGATGTGAGCCCTGGTTTAACACAATGCTGCAGCATGTGAGCCCTGGTTTAACACACTGTTGCAGGATGTGAGTCCTGCTTTAACACTGCTGCAGGATGTGAGTCCTGCTTTGAGCACTTCACATTCAAACATGGTGTTGAGAAGAAAGTCACTGTCTCATTCATCACACTCAATGATTTTTCTTCTGTCAAGCATAATCCAATAATTGCTTTAACTTTCAATAACATAACTACATTCTTCAGTATATGCTCAGAATTCATTTCAACATTCAGCATCATAAATATAATAAGTTCCTTAACAAAACAATAAAACAGCCTCCACAGTATAAAACATCACACACCTGGATCCCTGTGCACATGAACACAGTCTCCTCAAATAACCCACGGCAAGGTACCTGCTTAAGATGTTAAATGTCAGCCTTCAAAACGTGCGCTAGTCCGCAAACCTGAGACTCCTAACTTGTCCTGAGGACAAGTAAAACTCCAGTGATGGTAGCTTTCATTGACAAGTAGCATATAAGGGTAATAATTCTGAATTAGTTCTGTAAAACAATACATCACGTTGGCTCGTGTCGGCCTTTGATGCAGTCGCACAAAGAGCAAAGACACCGTGTTTGGTGGCGTCTGTCTGGACTTGCAGGTGTGATCAGTGATGACATGAGTGAGTAAAAGGCTTGTCTTGACCCTAGCAGTGACAATTCACAGGATGTAAATAGTGTTTGAATGACATTGTTTATATACTTGTAACAAGTGCTGCTCAATAAACAGTGATGTGGAATACATAGTTGTTTGTTTTCAGTGTATGTCTAAGATGGTATTTCTGCTATTCAAAATGTCTTATTGTTGATATAAATGCGATGTTTAATAATGCGAGCAAAGACCACTCGCATTTTTCGCATTTAATTCACGCTTGCATTAATATCAAGATTTACAGTATAATTGACAGATAATGTAAACCTTTTTGTCTCGATCACGCAGGACTAGCTACAAACTCGTGACAACTGACATCATGTGGCCACAAGCCCCTGGACTTGTCTGTAACAAAGCAAATATCTACAGAATGTGCTACTCACAAGAGCAATAACTGAAATAAGCACTCCTAGGGACTTAGAACTTAACTGTTACATCAGTTGTTCATTGCACAGTGAAATCTGGGGTACCCAGCCTGTCTTTGTAATCCACATTTTATGCTAAAATTACCTGATGTCATACTGATTAAATATGGAAACAGAACTGTGGGATACATGTGTTACCTGTAGATTTATTTTGGGAAAGAAGTACATGTCTTTATTATATATATATTAGCTTATGCAGTGATGTAGACGTCAAATCAACGGTTTTAATCACAGCTTGTTATTGTGATTTGAAACCTCTGATTGACCAATGAGAATCAAGTATTTTCCATATTCATGGTAGAATTGATAATATATTAAATTAGGATTATCAGGATCCGTGTAGACAACGCCCTACAGATCTGGGTTGACAATCTATCTTAGACAGGACGCAGTGTATTTGCCGTGGTTCATCTAGAGCTGACTGAACACTCCATGCAGCGCTGACTGACATGAGCAGCTTCAATTATTCATGTTTTCCTGCTTCATCACAATCATGACACAGACGTGTGTTTGTCTCGGTACCCATCACCCCTCACGCTGTCGACTGAGCTCCAGTCGTCCTTGTACACTCACTGGAGAGCGGATTCATTCACCACTCTGCCATCATGCGGTCTTCTTCATCCATCACCTGACATGGTTTTATGAATGGTTGGTTTTGATGGTCGCATTTCATGAACAAATTCATGCTTGAATCAAGATATGTGCTTCCTCAACATTCCCTTCCAGCCAGATTTTGCATAAAAGTTCCAATAATTGCACCAAGTCATGAATATCTGGAAGACCTCATCACTGATCTTCTTTCATCTTTGGAGGCAAAATCTGAAACAGAAATATGACAGGTATGGAGGGAGTTGGGCCTAACTGCTACTTTGACCAATATGTCACCAATGTATTCCTACTTTGACCAATATGTCAGTGATGTATTGCTGCGTTGACCAATATGTCACCAATGTATTCCTACTTTGACCAATATGTCACCAATGTATTCCTACTTTGACCAATGTGTCAGTGATGTATTGCTACTTTGACCAATATGTCACCAATGTATTCCTACTTTGACCAATATGTCACCAATGTATTCCTACTTTGACCAATGTGTCAGTGATGTATTGCTTCTTTGACCAATATGTCAGTGATGTATTGCTGCTTTGACCAATATGTCAGTGATGTATTGCTGCTTTGACCAATATGTCAGTGATGTATTGCTACTTTGACTAATATGTCAGTGATGTATTGCTTCTTTGACCAATATGTCAGTGATGTATTGCTATTTTGACCAATATGTCAGTGATGTATTGCTATTTTTTAATATGTCAGTGATGTATTGCTACTTTGACCAATATGTCAGTGCTGTATTGCTACTTTGACCAATATGTCAGTGATGTATTGCTACTTTGACCAATATGTCAGTAATGCATCGCTACTTTGACCAATATGTCAGTGATGTATTGCTTCTTTGACCAATATGTCAGTGATGTATTGCTGCTTTGACCAATATGTCAGTGATGTATTGCTACTTTGACCAATATGTTAGTGATGTATTGCTACTTTGACCAATATGTCAGTGATGTATTGCTACTTTGACCAATATTCTGCCTGGAATGACTTATTCAGTGTTTAAAGGACATTCACTCACTCATTAACACCCATCTAGAGACAGAGCAAGGATTATAATCCGGATAAACCTGTCTGAACCTAACCAGGTCAGGAACAGTGACCGTACCTCCTCCACCAAGCCAGCAGCGATGGTTGCTCCGCCTGACCTCAACATGAACCTCCCCAAGTCCTTGAAGTCTTTGTATTCCTCCAGACATATGTTCCTCTCCAGTTCGATTTCCACCACTGCACTGGTGTTCTTCACCAGGCATCTGAAACATACTTCACAGGTGAACATATGTCTGACTTCACAGGTGAACATATGTCTTCCCTCTCTGATATATTCTACTTAAGCTCTCTTTCTCTAAGTTGCCATAAACTAATTTGCCATACACTAAAGTCCTCCTGCACTATGTTGCCATAAACTAAAGCTCTACTAAATTAAGTTGCCATACACTAAGTTGTCATACCCTAAAGCTCTCCTCCACTAAGTTGCCATAAACTAAAGTTCTCCTACAGTAAGATGACGTACACTAAAGCGATCCAATACTAAGATGTCATACACTAAAGCGATCCAACACTAAGTTGCCATACACTTAAGCTCTCCTCCACAAAGTTGCCATAAACTAAAGCTCTCCTACAGTAAGATGACGTACACTAAAGCGATCCAACACTAAGCTGACATACACTTAAGCTCTCCTACACTAAGATGTCATACACTAAAGCGATCCAACACTAAGTTGCCATACACTAAAGCTCTCCTACACCAAGTTGACGTACAGTTAAGCTCTCCTACACCAAGTTGACGTACAGTTAAGCTCTCCTACACCAAGTTGACGTACAGTTAAGCTCTCCTACACCAAGTTGACGTACAGTTAAGCTCTCCTACACCAAGTTGACGTACAGTTAAGCTCTCCTACACCAAGTTGACGTACAGTTAAGCTCTCCTACACCAAGTTGACGTACAGTTAAGCTCTCCTACACCAAGTTGACGTACAGTTAAGCTCTCCTACACCAAGTTGACGTACAGTTAAGCTCTCCTACACCAAGTTGACGTACAGTTAAGCTCTCCTACACCAAGTTGACGTACAGTAAGTTGGCGTAGACTAAGCTTCTCACCTTGGCTTCTTCTTCACCACCTCGCCGGTACTCTTGTTGAGCTGAGCCACGAGGCGTCTTATCACAGCAGGCTCATTGACAGACTGGTAGTGGAACACCACCTGCCAACACACCCATAGCATCAGTCACATGTGTACATGGTGGGTAGCACAGTGTATAACGTGTATGAACACCATTGGTATGAGCTTGGTAGCTCCGTGTATAACGTGTATGAACACTATGGGTATGTACCGAGTAGCCTGGTGTATAACGTGTATGAACACTATGGGTATGTACTGAGTAGCCTGGTGTATAACGTGTATGAACACAATGGGTATGTACTGAGTAGCCTGGTGTATAACGTGTATGAACACTGTGGGTATGTACCGAGGAGCCTGGTGTATAACGTGTATGAACACTGTGGGTATGTACCAAGTAGCCTGGTGTATAACGTGTATGAACACTATGGGTATGTACCGAGTAGCCTGGTGTATAACGTGTATGAACACTATGGGTATGTACCAAGTAGCCTGGTGTATAACGTGTATAAACACCATTGGGATGAGCTGGGTAGTCTGGTGTAAAACATGTATGAACACCATTGGTATGAGCTGGGTAGTCTGGTGTATAACATGTATGAACGCCATTGGTATGAGCTGGGTAGCCTGGTGTATAGCGTGTATGAACACCATTGGTATGAGCTGGGTAGCCTGGTGTATAGCGTGTATGAACACCATTGGTATGAGCTGGGTAGCCTGGTGTAAAACGTGTATGAACACCATTGGTATGAGCTGGGTAGCCTGGTGTAAAACGTGTATGAACACCATTGGTATGAGCTGGGTAGTCTGGTGTATAACATGTATGAACACCATTGGTATGAGCTGGGTAGTCTGGTGTATAACATGTATGAACACCATTGGTATGAGCTGGGTAGCCTGGTGTATAACGTGTATGGACACCATTGGTATGAGCTGGGTAGTCTGGTGTATAACATGTATGGACACCATTGGTATGAGCTGGGTAGCCTGGTGTATAATGTGTATGAACACCATTGGTATGAGCTGGGTAGTCTGGTGTATAGCGCGTATGAACACCATTGGTATGAGCTGGGTAGCCTGGTGTATAACATGTATGAACACCATTGGTATGAGCTGGGTAGTCTGGTGTATAACATGTATGAACACCATTGGTATGAGATGGGTAGCCTGGTGTAAAACGTGTATGAACACCATTGGTATGAGCTGGGTAGTCTGGTGTATAACATGTATGAACACCATTGGTATGAGCTGGGTAGTCTGGTGTATAACGTGTATGGACACCATTGGTATGAGCTGGGTAGTCTGGTGTATAACATGTATGGACACCATTGGTATAAGCTGGGTAGCCTGGTGTATAATGTGTATGAACACCATTGGTATGAGCTGGGTAGTCTGGTGTATAGCGTGTATGAACACCATTGGTATGAGCTGGGTAGCCTGGTGTATAACGTGTATGAACACCACTGGTATGAGCTGGGTAGCCTGGTGTAAAACGTGTATGAACACCATTTGTATGAGCTGGGTAGTCTGGTGTATAACATGTATGAACACCATTGGTATGAGCTGGGTAGTCTGGTGTATAACATGTATGAACACCATTGGTATGAGCTGGGTAGCCTGGTGTATAACATGTATGGACACCATTGGTATGAGCTGGGTAGCCTGGTGTATAATGTGTATGAACACCATTGGTATGAGCTGGGTAGTCTGGTGTATAGCGCGTATGAACACCATTGGTATGAGCTGGGTAGCCTGGTGTAAAACGTGTATGAACACCATTGGTATGAGCTGGGTAGTCTGGTGTATAACATGTATGAACACCATTGGTATGAGCTGGGTAGCCTGGTGTAAAACGTGTATGAACACCATTGGTATGAGCTGGGTAGTCTGGTGTATAACATGTATGAACACCATTGGTATGAGCTGGGTAGTCTGGTGTATAACGTGTATGGACACCATTGGTATGAGCTGGGTAGTCTGGTGTATAACATGTATGGACACCATTGGTATGAGCTGGGTAGCCTGGTGTATAATGTGTATGAACACCATTGGTATGAGCTGGGTAGTCTGGTGTATAGCATGTATGAACACCATTGGTATGAGCTGGGTAGCCTGGTGTATAACGTGTATGAACACCACTGGTATGAGCTGGGTAGCCTGGTGTAAAACGTGTATGAACACCATTGGTATGAGCTGGGTAGCCTGGTGTATAACGTGTATGAACACCACTGGTATGAGCTGGGTAGCCTGGTGTAAAACGTGTATGAACACCATTGGTATGAGCTGGGTAGCCTGGTGTATAACATGTATGAACACCATTGGTATGAGCTGGGTAGCCTGGTGTATAACGTGTATGAACACCATTGGTATGAGCTGGGTAGCCTGGTGTATAACGTGTATGAACACCATTGGTATGAGCTGGGTAGTCTGGTGTATAGCGTGTATGAACACTATAAGTACGTACCGGGTACCCCCGTGTGATGGGCACCTCCAGGCTGAAGATAACGATCTTGGCACGGATTCGAGTCGAAAACTTGGCCGGGTTGGCAGGATCGCACAACACACTCCCTGGAACAAAAGGGTCACTTGGATTTACTGACATCACAAATACAACTGTAAACTGCTTCTAGCACATACCCATACTTACATTGGCTCTAATCCATACCTATATTTATATTGGTTCTAATACATACAAATATATTTAAATTGGCTCTCATACATACCTATAATTGCATTCACTCCAATACATACCTATATTTACATTGGCTATGTCTATTCCACTGATCAAGATGGTCACATGGTCACCAGCAAATGCCACCTGAACTGGCATCTCATCTATAAACACATCTGGAACAAAGTGAAAAATACCTTTTAGTTGTATTGCTAGCATTTTATTGGGAGAAAAGGATGCAAATTTGACTTAAAAACCTTTGCATCACAAGCCAACCATTTCAAGGCCAAAATGGCAACCCCACCATTCCAAGGCCAACATGGCAACCCCACCATTTCAAAGCCAACATGACAACCTCACAATTTTAAGGCCAAAATGACCTCACCATTTCAAGGCCAACATGACAACCTCACCATTTCAAGGCCAACACCGCAACCCCACCATTTCAAGGCCAACATGGCAACCTCACCATTTCAAGGCCAACATGGCAACCCCACCATTTCAAGGACAACGTTGCAACTCCACCATTTCAAGGCCAACCCCACCATTTCAAGGCCAACATGGCAACCCCACCTTTTCAAGGCCAACATGGTAACCCCCACATTTCAAGGCCAACCCCACCATTTCAAGGCCAACATGGCAACCCAACTAGTTCAAGGTCATTATGGCGACCCCACCATTTCAAGGCCAACATGGCAACCCCATCATTTCACAGCTGTTTCAACCCTTGTTTCACGATCAATGTATTGTGAACCTTGTAATACAGCACTATCCCTACAAGCCTTGTATCATAACATTGAAAGAAGGCAAGGGCCTTACTTCTGACGGTGGCGGTGATGTTGCCGGGCATGACGACTGCTCTATCACCCGGCTGGGTGTAGCCTGAGCCTATTCTTCCCGAAATCCTGAAGCCGGTGCCCTGCCCTTTGAACACGTCCCCGACATTCAGACGGAACGGTTTGTCTATTGGTCGCTCCAGTGACTTAAACTTATCTGTAAGAGAGAGCAAATACAATCAATACGTCCAGTTGTTTAGACTATTTCTTTGTCAAACATCTGTACCTGAATCACAAAGAATGGGCTCCACACATTGTGTCTGGAACCAATCCTGGGCATTCAGCAAGACAAGCAGGTCAGTAGACTACTCCAACACCCGATGACTGTAGGTGACATGACCCACGAATTCATGTATCGATGTCCTTCATGACGTTAGGTTTACCAATAAGATTCTACAGAACATACCACAGAGTGTACATAAATAAACACCCTTGACATCAGAATTTCAAACAAATGTATAAAAGTATGTTTTGTTTTCTTTCTTTGTTGAATGCCCCACTAAGTAATATTTAAGCTGTATGACAGTGGTCTGTTAATAATCAAGTCTGGACCAGAGGAGTGATTGATTTAATGTGCATTGAGACACAATGACAAACATCAACCAAGTCAGCCTGACCACACGATCCCACTAGTTGCCTCTTACAACAAGCATGGGTTGCTGAAGACCAATTCCAACTGGGACCTTTACAGACTATAAAAGTATGTAGAGAAGTTAGGATGCAGGATCACCTACCAATCTGCTCGGATAGCGTCGGCCCCTTGTACCAGGCAGCCAGCTTGGGCTCTTTCACTGTCTGGGTGAGATTCTCACCGCCAAGACCACTGCACGGCACAAACGACACGTCCCCTTCCCGGAAGCCAGCCTGCTTGAGGAACTGACCGATTTTCTTCACCACCTCATTATACCTCTCCTCCGACCAATCGACTGTGTCCATCTTGTTGACAGCCACTATTATTTGAGTGACACCTGGAGGGCAAGGAGAGACAACTATAGTTTCATTCAAAAGTTTCTGCTACTTCAACAGAACCATTAATCATACAAATCATTTTGTACAAAGAATTCTCGTAAGGTCACATATTTCCCCAAAGTCAAACCTTATCTCTAACCCTTACTTGCAGTTTGATAACAGATCAACAATATGATTTGTTTGTTTGTTGTTTAACACCGTACCCAGCAATATTCCAGCTAAATGACAGCTAAAAATGCAGTAATTGACGTCATGAGCATCGATCCAAGCTATTGGGATTGGATGACATGCATCAACCAAGTCTGCGAGCCTGACCACCCAATCCTGTTAGTTGCCTCTAACGACAACCATAGTCGCCTTTTAGGGTGAGCATGGGTTGCTGAAGACATGTTCTACCTCAGATTTAAACGGGTCTCAACAATATGAACTATTGTAACGCACCCAGTGATCTGGCTAGTAGAGCATGTTCACGGGTTTGACCCCCGGTCTCAAAGCCAGTCTCGAACTCCCCCTTTGTGGCGTTGATGACTAAAATAGCAACATCCGCTTGGGCAGCTCCTGGAAGAAAAGAGGTCAACATGTGTCAGGACAATCAACATGTGTCTGTCAGAATTAAAATGTGTCTGTCAGAATTAAAATGTGTCTGTCAGAATTAAAATGTGTCTGTCAGAATTAAAATGCATCTGTCAGAATTATAATGTGTCTGTCAGAATTAAAATGTGTCTGTCAGAATTAAAATGTGTCAGGCAGACAGAATTATGATGTCTTTGACAAAATTAAAATTAGTCAGGCAGACTGAATAAATATGTGTCAAAATGATTGATGACACAGAATTATAATGTCTTAGAGAGAATTAAAATGTCTTAGACAGAATCAAAATGCGTCAGGCAGACAGAACTATAATGTCTTAGACAGAATTAAAATGTGTCAGGCAGACAGAACTATAATGTCTTAGAATTAAAATGTAATGGACAGACAGACTAACATAGTCGCAGACAGAATCAAAATGTATCAGGTAGAATCAACAGTCCACATATGTCCCAAACGTTGTGTTCTGGAACCGTGGTTAGAGTTCTTTCTGCCGAGATGATCAGTGAAGGAGAACCAGGACTACTGACCGGTGATCATATTGGGAATGAAATCTTTGTGGCCTGGAGCGTCAAGGAGAGTCACAGTTTTCTTCGGTGTCTGAAACTTCGTCTGGGCCACATCCATGGTAACTCCACGAGTCCTGCCCAAAATATGGCCATGTTAGCTACTTTATCACTGCTGAGGCCACAACAAATTGATGATTTGTTTGCCAGAATGGCCTCAGAATTCAATTCACTGCTTATATATAGCTTTAGTCAATAATTACATAGAATACAAGAGATGAAATCTTGATGCTTGTGTATATTTATCATGATTATGAGCGATCATTTCTCAAAAAGCAAAACCCATAAGTTGGTATTTCCCTCTTGTGCAGGGATATGATCAGTTGGGTGGCGCCACCTACCTCTCCTCCTCCGTCTCGTCAAGCACCCACGCGAAGGCAAACGACCCCTTGCCAAGCTTCTTGGACTCCTGCTCATATTTATGCATGACCTTCCTGTGGACGGAACCCAGCTGGTACAGCAGGTGCCCCATCAGCGTACTCTTGCCCGCATCCACATGACCTGCAATAAACACATGTCACTGTGACCTGTAATACATGTGTCACTGTGACCATTCCAGGTTATATTGCTTACAATATAATTTCAACCTCACAGAACTTACAGAATAATCTCTCCTTCAGATCCTACAATATCTCACCCTCACAGAACTTACTGCACAATCTCACCCTCACAGGATAATCTCGCCCTCACAGAACTTACTGCATAATCTCACCCTCACAGGATAATCTCACCCTAACAGAACTTACTATATAATCTCACCCTCACAGGATAATCTCACCCTAACAGAACTTACTATATAATCTCACTCACAGAACTTACTGCATAATCTCACCCTCACAGGATAATCTCACCCTCACAGAACATACAGGATAATCTCACCCTCACAGGATAATCTCACCCTCACAGATCTTACTGCATAATCTCACCCTCACAGGATAATCTCACCCTCACAGATCTTACTGCATAATCTCACCCTCACAGAACATACAGGATAATCTCACCCTCACAGAACTTACTGCATAATCTCACCCTCACAGGATAATCTCACCCTCACAGAACGTACAGGGTAATCTCACCTTCACAGAACATCATATAATCTGACAGGACTTTCCGACTCACCTATCACTACCAGGTTCAACAGGTCCAGGTCACCTTGACGTTTGGAATATTCTTCCTGTACATTTATTTTTTGTTTACTCCTGAAAAATTAGAAAGATCCCAATAAAGACAATATGTCAATAAGCGAAACACTATTACATGAAATAACTACAAGCTATATGTATCATGATCTATTCCCTGACAGACAGACAGACACACACACAACCATACATATTTGATTCTGGTGACCACGAAGAACGAATTCAATTTATGAATGGATACAGTTTGATTCACCGAATACACGAGTGAATCGTATCAGCCCTTCTCATCACACACCTAAACAGTTATAAGGGCTTAGTCACAGGCCACATATCATCTTAAATATGGGTATAATTGAGGCATTGCTTGAAGGATCATCTGGGTTTTTGTGTGCAAATGTTTGGGAGTCAGGAGCAGGGATAACCAAAGGTTCTTGTTTGTTCGCTACAATATTCCAGCTAAAGATGGCAGTCTGTAAATAATCAAATCTGGATCAGACAATTCAGTGACTGACATCAGGAGAATCGATCTATGCAATTGGGATACGATGACATACATCAACGAAGTCAGCGAGTCTGAACAACCAATACCGTTAGTCGCCTCTCACAACAAGCATAGTCGCCTCTTATAACATGCATGGGTTCCTGAAGACCTATTCTAACCAAGACCTTCACTGGTCTTATCAGTACACATAGTACCTGCAGTTACCATGGTTACAGAGGAAATGTCACAGAGATACCAGATAACTAATGATGCATAGGGTCTGAACAATGGTACAGCATATCAACCTTCACACTTGTCACTGTTGGTAATTCTGTCCGGCTGATGAAGGCTCCCCTTACACCCTTGTTGTCCACCTCTCTAGCAGACATGTAACATTTTGTAGCTATAACACATTGGGCTGGGACGATACACCAACTGTGCAATCCAGTACGTATCACGATACTTGTAAGTGCTCTCATATGTGGTGTGTGAGCCATCTTTTTCATAGACAGGATAGTAAAATATCTGGCACACTGACAATTTACAGTTGGCAGTCGATAATCCATAACAATATTTACTTTTTAACTGCTAATTTTCACTGCTAATTAGTGTTTGGTGGGTGTAACAGCCATTAAAATGAACATCTATGGTACGAATCGATGTTTTGTACTTAGTACTTAGAATGACACTTGTTTCGGGAAGTAAAATACAGCGATCCACCAATGCATCAGAGTATCGTCCCACCACTAATAACATCGCACTTACTTAGACGATGACTTCGGTAAAGGCGGCCGATACGCTTGGTCTTTCTTAGGTGTAGGAAGACTGGAGGTAGAACTAGACGCCAGCGACGTGGATGATTCTACCGACGTTGTCTCAGACGTACTCGCCGCGGCTCCGCCCTGGCCACCAGTCACATTATCACAGCTTGTGGCCACCTGGGGGGCAAGTCTGTCATCACTCTTGGTTGACGTGGCAACCACAGGTTCAAAACCTCTAACAGGTTCCTTCTTGGGAGTGACAGTTACCTTCGAAATTGAATTTGTTGCACTTCCAATGGAATTCTGGGATTTGAAAAATGATGGTGGATCTTTCAGGATGGGTACATCTGTACTTGTGATGCCTGCAATACAACCAATCATCACCCGGTGATTACAGCTGGAAATATGAGTGAGTTATTGAGTGAGTTATTGAGTGAGTGAGTGTGAGAGGGTGGTGGGTGAGAGTGGGTGAGTGAGTGAGTCTGAGGTGAGTGAGTCTCAGGTGAGTGAGTGTGAGGTGATTGAGTGAGTGTAAGAAGGTGAGTGAGTGAGTGAGAGTGAGGATGGGTGAGAGTGAGAGGGTGGTAAATGGATGAGAGTGGGTAAGTGTGAGGTGAGTGAGTGAGTGTGAGAAGGTGAGTGAGTGAGTGAGAGTGAGGATGGGTGAGAGTGAGTGTGAGAGGGTGGTGAGTGGGTGAGAGTGGGTGAGTGTGAGGTGAGTGAGTGAGTGAGTAGGTGAGTGAGTGGGTGAGAGTGAGTGAGTGTGAGGTGAGTGAGTGAGAAGGTGAGTGAGTGAGTGTGAGATGGTGAGTGAGTGAGTGAGTGTGAGAAGGTGAGTGAGTGAGTGAGAGTGAGGATGGGTGAGAGTGGGTGAGAGTGAGTGAGTGTGAGGTGAGTGAGTGAGTGTGAGTGAGTTAGTGAGAGTGGGTGAGAGTGAGTGAGTGTGAGGTGAGTGAGTGAGTGTGAGAGGGTGGTAAGTGAGTTGGTGATAGTGGGTGAGAGTGAGTGAGTGTGAGGTGAGTGAGTGAGTGAGTGTGAGAAGGTGAGTGAGTGAGTGAGTGTGAGAAGGTGAGTGAGTGAGTGAGAGTGAGGATGGGTGAGAGTGGGTGAGAGTGAGTGAGTGTGAGGTGAGTGAGTGAGTGTGAGTGAGTTAGTGAGAGTGGGTGAGAGTGAGTGAGTGTGAGGTGAGTGAGTGAGTGTGAGAAGGTGAGTGAGTGAGTTGGTGAGAGTGGGTGAGAGTGAGTGAGTGTGAGGTGAGTGAGTGAGTGTGAGAAGGTGAGTGAGTGAGTTGGTGAGAGTGAGTGAGAGTGAGGATGGGTGAGAGTGAGTGTGAGGTGAGTGAGTGAGTGTGAGAGGGTGGTGAGTGAGTTGATGAGGGTGGGTGAGAGTGAGTGAGTGTGAGGTGAGTGAGTGAGTGTGAGAAGGTGAGTGAGTGGGTGAGAGTGGGTGAGAGTGAGTGAGTGTGAGGTGAGTGAGTGAGAAGGTGAGTGAGTGGGTGAGAGTGAGTGAGTGTGAGGTGAGTGAGTGAGAAGGTGAGTGAGTGAGTGTGAGATGGTGATTGAGTGAGTGAGTGTGAGAAGGTGAGTGAATGAGTGAGAGTGAGGATGGGTGAATGAGGGAGAGTGAGAGGGTGGTGAGTGAGTGGGTGAGAGTGAGTGAGTGAGTGACTGAGTGACTGAGTGAGACAGATTTAGGTTTTGCACTGCTTCTGGCAATAGTGTAGTATCATCACAGCAGACAAGAACTGGGCCCACTTGCACAAAGCGGTCTTAGCGCTAAGATTATCGTTAGTCTATGTTGAAGTATGGGAGTTACCATCATCTTGTGCAAGTGCTAAGATCGCCTTGTGCAAGTGGGCCCACTTGCACAAAGCGGTCTTAGCGCTAAGATTATCGTAAGCCTATGTTGAAGTATGGGAATTATCATCATCTTGTTCAAGTGGGCCCTGGTCTCAGGTGTCACAAGCAAGGAAAACAAAGATGCCAAACCCAAATTGTGGCAGTTTGGATATTCGGGAATAAATGTCCAAAAGAGTAGTACCAGTAATCCTAAAAACATACTAATCATTGTAACCATCACTATCATTTTTTGTATTTTATTACCCCAAATCCTCGAAATCCCATCACATGCTAAAACAAGGTATTATCTATCATTAGGGCTGCAATGATACAGGAAGGTCACGATACGATACGCATCTCGATATTCTGGTCACGATACGATATGTATCTCGATACGCAGTAATACAAAAACAAGACTTAAAGCATGTCAAGATTGAACCTTCATGACTTAGGAACATTCAACATTATTTTATAATAACAAGACTACTGAAGTTGTTAAGCTTCAAAGTGGAACTTTCTCTAACTTTCCTTCAAAACAATTCAAAGTTCAAACACCAGAAAATAATAAAACTTCAAAGAATTTTTATGCAATGGTCGAAGAAATTGTAACTGAAATTATTGTTTTATAAGGAATAATATATTCCAATATCGTGTTACTTTAGTTGCAGCTTTTACTATATATGTATTTAAAATTATAAAAACCACAAGCGTAGCATTTTGGTACTGGTGATAGCAGTTGTAGGATATTTTTACGTATGGAACAATTTGACCAGTCACCGTAGGGACTTCCCGCCCAACATGGATTTCGATTGCGAAAACGTTATGTTGACATATATTAGCCAAATTGCCACAAATATAACTTTTAACGAGTCAAAGTATGACATTTTTAATATATGTATCCATTCTTTAGCAAAAAAAGTTCGTTTCAATGCGTCAAAAGCGGTAATCTGACCAAGGTTGCTGTATCTCTTCACACACGAGTTCACCTAACTTAATGAAAACAGTATTAATTGAAATTTTGAATAAAATTAATAAAACATATTACAAACACATGTCCAGATATACAAAGAACACGTTTTAATAACAAGATAGTATAATGATGGTATTGAATTGCGTACTTCAGTTCGGTTTTGCTGACTGGTATTTCCAGTGTTATGTGCTTGCAGTGATCAGCTGATAATGTTTTTGAGATGGGGAAAAACATATGTCAGTGAAAAACCTGAGCTTATTAAAAATGTAAGTACCGTATTTTCTTGAGTATAGTGCGCACTTTTTTTCGAAAAAACACAGCTGTGTAGAAGGGGGTGCGCATTATACACGAATTATGAGTTTGGATGTTTTTTTCCCCCATGGAAAGACATTACCGGTACGTTTTTGGGAGCCATGCGTTACCGCGCGCTATAACCAAGTGAGCGGTTTATTGAAAGGCACAAAAGCGAGGAAACGCTGTACTTGAGATTTGCGTTTCGCATCGTGGCTTATCGATAAATGGGCCCACGTTTATCGTATATCGTATCGTGGGTCAAGTATCGCGATGCATCGGAATATCGTATCGTATCACAAGATACCAGACGATACACAGCTCTAAAACACATGTCAGTAATATTTCCGAGGGATATATAGGAGGTACATCAGGAATGACAGATATGAAAGACGTCTGTCATAAGTAAGTGCATGGAGACAGTTGAGACTGCTAAATCCTTGTAATTACTGGCAATGGGGTTGGAAACAATTCATAGTGTATTCCACATAATCATGCTGGTTGACTTCAATTGGCATTCTAGAAGTTGGTAAGGAAATAAGAAAACATACTTTATGGATAAAAACCACATGTCATTATCCATACTTGTATGTTTTCGGACATAGTCATTATTGTCTGAATTTGGTTAAAATATATTACTGGTTGGCATCTCTGATAAAGCAAGTGAGAACCATTGCAGAAACATGCGGACCTAAGATGTACACAGTGGTGAAACGACAAAAAGAGCCAATTTTCCACACAGGGAACATTGCAGTGATTGTGCTCAGCAACAAAACCAGGAAGCAGCCTGAACCCAGACAGGCACACGTCCATTAGTGACGTCCATACATGAATTCTGTCATTCTACATGACACAACCCATGGAACGGAAAACCATTACCTATCTAGATCTTTACCACGGTCATTCTGTTCAAGGTGATCCAATGTGGAGATGACGAGAGCGTGTTGGAGCATGGGGTCATTCAGTAATTCTGAAAGTTTTGCTTCCAAAGTTGGTTTGGTTTGTTTGTTGTTTAACACCGCACTCAGCAATATTTCAGCTATATGACTGCGTTCTGTAAATAATCCAGTCTGGACCAGACAATCCAGTGATTAATATGATGAGCATCGATCCACGCAATTGGGATCAATGACATGCATCAACCAAGTCAGCTAGCCTGACCACCCTATTGTGTACAGTACCGAGTCTGGTGAGTCATATGTGAAGAGTTCCTGTTTTAGTTTATATCAATCTACAAATAAAAAAGCCAATATGGGTCATTGCAATTTAATTACAAGTAGATTAACAACTGCAGTGATAGTAGATAAATACCTAAAAAATGATTTAAAAGCATGACTAGTGAAACAAGATAATATGTTTCAGATACAAAATACCAGTCACTCTCTGTTGCCCAGCATGGAGGTCGTCATGACCCCCATAGTTAGGGCAAACCTGCAGTTCCCCTGTACCCCTGTGTAATCATGTAGCTTTCTTGCTCCAAAGACAAAGACTGACGTGTAAATGAGGACTGACGTGTAAACAAGGACTGACATGTAAACAGGGACTGACGTGTTAACAAGGACTGACGTGTAAACAAGGACTGACGTGTAAACAAGGACTGACATGTAAACAGGGACTGACGTGTTAACAAGGACTGACGTGTAAACAAGGACTGACGTGTTAACAAGGACTGACGTGTAAACAAGGACTGACATGTAAACAGGGACTGATGTGTAAACAAGGACTGACATGTAAACAGGGACTGACGTGTTAACAAGGACTGACGTGTAAACAAGGACTGACGTGTAAACAGGAACTGACGTGTAAACAAGGACTGATGTGTAAACAAGGACTGACGTGTAAACAAGGACTGACGTGTAAACAAGGACTGATGTGTAAACAAGGACTGACATGTAAACAGGGACTGAGTGTTAACAAGGACTGAAGTGTAAACAAGGACTGACGTGTAAAGAAGGACTGATGTGTAAACAAGGACTGATGTGTAAACAAGGACTGACATGTAAACAAGGACTGATGTGTAAACAAGGACTGACGTGTAAACAAGGACTGACGTGTAAACAAGGACTGACGTGTTAACAAGGACTGACGTGTAAACAGGGACTGACGTGTTAACAACGACTGACGTGTAAACAAGGACTGACGTGTAAACAAGGACTGACGTGTAAACAGGGACTGATGTGTAAACAAGGACTAACATGTAAACAAGGACTGACGTGTAAACAAGGACTGACGTGGAAACAAGGACTGATGTGTAAACAAGGAC